GGCTCTTTTTTCGCTCAAGAAACGTAATGTGTCCACTCCTAGCGAGAACCTGCTCCACCGCGCATCTCTTCTATTTACACGAAATTTATATGTATTGTACGTATCTTGAGTATGATAATAGCCCATTGTTATGGATCAATTACACTTGGTCGATAGCCCGAATACGAAAGGCAACGAAATTCGGCTAAACAACTAAGGTTAAATGAACCGAGACTTGTACGCCTGTATTCGGGAAATTTTCGTTTTGTTTACTCGACATTATCTTCCAGCCCGTATTCCAAGGTAAATATTGCTTCAGGTGCCAGAATTCGAGTAATTTCTTTTCAAGTGTAATCGAGCCATTAGTCGCTTCCTCGCCGGCGCTGGTCGGATAACTGCCTTTAGTGTCGCCGCACACGGGCCACACGCCACAGCCACAAACGCCACGAGAAGCTAGAAGCGGCTACTAAAGTGGCTGAAGCGCGCGACAGCGACCGACTAAGGGAAGGGAGAGAGGGGTGGGGAATCGTGCGAGTGACGTGTGGCGGCGTTTTGTATCGGCGCATTAAGTGGCCGGTGCGGGCCACAAGAAGCGAGCAACGACGATTTGTAGCGTGTGGCGAGTCCATATAAAATGTATGAAAACTACAAGAAATATGCCGGTGGCGGCGTTTTGTGGTTGTGGTCGGTGGCCCGTGTGCGGCGACACTTAATCAATTTTTTTAAGCGATAGGGGATCACCCTTATATTGATTTTTAGAAATATAAATCTAAAATCTACAATGTAATAATATTCCATTTTTAAATTTTCAGCCGGTTGAATGCGAGATGGCCTTCGTGATGTTGGAGTATACCAAAACTGTGACGTCCATATGGTTATGCATAGAAGGAGTACATAAGAACAAAAAGCTGATGCAAAATGCGCTCCGTGAAATAATCTCCTTCTATGTGATTGGATGGATTTCTCCGATATTCATCACTGCTGTTTGGGCAGTCGCCACCAATACATATTACGGACGAAATAATCCCTACAAGTAAGTTAAATAAGGAGGAGCTCGATGGCGTGGGTGGTAAGCGCGTTCGGCTGCGATCGTTGAAGTTAAGCTTAAGCAACTTGAGCAGTGGTCGGCCATTGGATGGGTGACCAAAAATCTTCTATCTCGAGTTCCTCCGTGCTTCGGCACTTTAAGCCGTTGGTCCCGGCTGCATCAGCAGTTGTTAGCACCCACCAATCCGCACTGGGCCCGCGTGGTGGGTCATGGTCCAATCTCCCTATTTCATCCATAGGGAAGTCCTGTGCCCCAGCAGTGGGGACATTAATAGGCTGATGATGATGATGATGAAGTTAAATAAGTTTCCGTTATATGTAGTACTAGTGGATGATCTGGACTTCGTTTGCGTTGAAAAATTGGTTTCCCATACAAACTTATACCCTCCTTGACATCCCTCAAAGGGCGATTTCTGTGATAAAAATAAAACCTATACTCTTTACCGGGACTAGAAATATTTCTTTAGCAAATTTCAACTGGATCGGTGCAGCGGTTTAAGCGTGAAGAAGTAACAGACAGACACGCTTTTGCATTTATAATTTTAGTATCCAGTGTAAATCTGGTTCTGGAGTGGAGACCTCGTCTAGGCAAACGTAGTGTAGGACGTCCTCAGGCACGATGGAGTGACGATTTGCGTAAGGTGGCTGGCAGGAGCTGGATGCGAGTAGCCCAAGATCGATCTGAGGGGCGTGCTTTTGGAGAGGCCTATGTCCAGCAGTGGACTAAGATAGGGTGTTGATGATGATGATGATCCAGTGTGAAAGGATAACAGTAACTAACATGCTTTATTAAGGTCATTCTCAGCTGACATGATTAATGAGTGTCCTACAAAATATCTACAGTCTGTAATATTATGTGGTTTATTTTTTGGGGATTAGTTCTACTAATTTATCCTTATAGCGTTATTCAATATGATTAACCAATTTTTTCATGATTAAAATTTAACCTCGTGTTCTTCATTTCCGTCACGCTAGAACGTGAAGAAAAATATAAAATGCCTAAAACTACTATTTGTCACTATTTTATTCTGTTGCAACATACGTAGTGAATGAATTGATTTTCGCCAACTGTGCTGATGTATGAAAGTACTGAGGATATATTTTTTGTTATTAGTTAGTTAGTTTAGTTTTTCTTTTGACTATGACATCGGAGCAAAACTATATGTCTCTTCATAAATCCAAAACTATTTTTTTTTATTTTAATCTATTTAATATAACGTGGGATTATTCTGGACCTACACATTTAAAAAAAGGATGCATCGATCTTCAGAACGCGGGGACGCACTTAGTAAATCAAGCGTGTTTTCTGGGACTTCACCAGCGTAACACGTACAGGAATAGCGTGGGAAATACGCTTGACCTGTTCTTCAGTAATTTTGACATGGGCATTCGTCTCTCAACCTTTACGCTGGTAAAGGAGGACGTTCGGCACACCACTCTCGATATCGATGCGAGCGATATATTTGTAAACTGTGTGCCAAAATGTTCAAGGGAAAAATAACTGTTTCGCAAGGCAGACTACAACGCCATTAACATGGAATTGGAGAGTGTTGATTGGTGGAGTGTGCTGAAGTCGGGCACTGTCGATGAGACGGTCTACGGATTTTACTCAATTTTAAACGATGGTACAGATAGGTACGTTCCCACCGTTGATACTAATTTATCTAATCGATACCCAGCGTGGTATAGTCGTGCTCTCATCTGTTTGCTGGCAGAGAAAAGGAGTGCCCATCATCCTTGGAAATGGTATAATAACCCGATAGATTATGACGTTTTTTTCTTTGCTGAGGAGAAGAGCTAAAGTCATGCAAGATAACTGCTATCAAAGATATATAACTCTTTGCCAGAGGAACATAAAGTCTAACCCTAAATTACTGTGGTCATATATTAATTCGAAGCGTAAACGTAATACGGAATACCCTGGTTCAATGACGTATGACAATAAGCAGTTGACGAACGGTCCTACCATCTGCGCGGCCTTCAACAATTACTTCGAACGAATGTTTGTTCACCCAGCAGGGAGTTACTCGGACGAGGGACTTCCTTAGATTAGTTCACGCGATTCAGTTCATTCCTTTTCTGTAACTCAAGATGAGGTTTACAAGCAACTCGCTGGCTTGGACCCCTGTAAGGGAGCTGGTAGCGATCAAATACCTCCTTTCTTTATAAAAAAAATTGCAGCGGCACTTTCTTTCCCTTTATTATTAATTTTCAATAAATCTATATCAGAAGGAATATTTCCGTCTAAGTGGAAAGAAGTGCACATTGTTCCAATCCATAAAAAGGGCTCCAAGCGCGAAATTGCGAATTATCGCCCTATCTCCATTTTGAATGTTTTCGGAAAGACTCTGGAGAATCCAATCTTAAAGCAAGGCATACCCGACGAACAGCACGGCTTCATCAAGGGGAGATCAACAACTACAAATTTAAGTTTGTATATAAGTGAACTGCATCGTAACATGGCCTCTCGTTCACAGGTGGATGAAATATATACAGATTTTGAAAAGGCCTTCAACCGCGTGGATCATATCGTTCTTTTGCAAAAGCTTTATCAACTGGGAATACGCGGGGATTTGTACAGGTGGATAAAATCTTACATATCTAATCGTAAACAGGCTGTTGTGATCGGCGGGATTCGCTCTGACTATGTCAATATAACGTCAGGCGTGCCGCAGGGCAAGTTACTCGGTCCTCTATTCTATATAGCGTATATAAGCGATATGTCTTCATGTCTTAAGCATGCTAGGTTCTTGCTCTACGCTGATGATACAAAAATCTATATGAAAGTTGAATCATAAGATGACTGTTTGAAATTGCAAGAAGACATGGACCGACTTTCAAAGTATTACATAAGAAACAGGATAACAGTTAACACGGCAAAATGCGTGCATATTATGTTTACAAGACGCAAAAATCCTGTTCTGTGCAATTACAAACTTAATAATGAAGAAGTGGCTCAAGTGAATGTTGTGAGGGATCTAGGGGTAACTTTGGATTCAAAATTAACATTCGTCAATCATTTTAACGATATAACCACCAGGGCTTATAAAAATTTAGGATTTATTTTCAGAGTTACGAAAGATTTCAAGGACGCTGCTTGCATGAAAGTATTATATTATGCTTATGTTCAAAGTACTCTTGAGTACTGTAGCACCGTGTGGAATCCACAGTACATAACACACGAACACGCCATTGAACGGATACAAATGAAATTCGTAAAATATTTAAACTAGAGTCTGGTCTGAAATGGTTATGGGGAGTCATGTAGCATATACGGTCTCATTACCCTTGGTGACAGGCGACGCATGCGGGACATGATGACTTTGTTCGATGTATGTTCTGGAGTACTGGACTGCACCGAGTTGATAAATAGAATAGTTTCCATAAAGGCTCCTACAAAAAGAACACGCCACACGCAACTATTTCATGTACCATCTGTGCGTACAAATTACGAGGCTAATGATATGACGGTAAGGTTGCCAATACCGTACAACAAGTACTTCTCTGATATCGACCTGTTCTCTTTGTCCAGAGCTGCTTTTAAAACGACATTATTTGAAATTATGACCGCAAGACCCAAATAAGCTTTTGTTATTATTTATTTTATTATTATTAATTCATACAATTTATTTGAATTTTTATTAATATGTAAAATGACTGCACTGCATTTTACGGCTTAAATTATTTTCCCTGACATTTGTTTTGTTTCAATTACAATTTAATTTATTTGTTTGTTTTTATTCTTAGCGCCATGTAGGCCTACAATTACAAGCACTCACACTGAAGTAGTGTAGGCCTACAATTACAAGAACTGACACACACACACATAAAAACACACATACATACGCGCACACACACCCACTCACACTTCATAAAGTTATCATGTGACAAACTCTTGAAAACCCTTTTGTATGGATATTCAGTGTTTGTTTTTCTTCTTTTTTGTCTTTTTGTTATGTTTTTGTCCAATCTTAATTTTATTTTATTTTGACGTGACAACGTCTTAAATTAGGTTGCGGCTGGGAGTCACTTATGAAAAAGTGTAACGCTCGGTAACGTTACGATGAGTCTCTCGTGTTAAGTTTAAGTTTACATGTACAATGTTTTAGTAAACAAAATATATTTCTATAGTTAAAATTTGTGCAATTCTTATTTTCATTCAATTCCTTGTTCCTATTGTGCAATTTAATTATATTCATATCAATAAATATTCTACCGAGAAAAAGACGTTGTCACGTAAAATCTTCGCCCGTAAAACCGACTTTACAGGCAACCATTTTTTTTTTATGTTAATGAATTACTTATATGATTTTTATGCAATTTTTAAAATTAAATTAAATGTAATAATTACTGACATATAATAACGCCGTTAATATCTAATGTGTACGTAATGAGTTTCTGTAATTGGCCTTAAGATTATATCTATATTTTATTGTATTAAATTTCACAAAAACCGCTGTAGAAACTTTGTTAAAGATAAATAAATAAATAATAAAATAGCCATATACATAAATTTATAATATGTTACTTGTTTTTAATTTTTATTGTCGGCGCAAAAATTTATTGAAAATCAAAAATTGTGACGGAAATTGTACGTAGAATACGTTTTCTTGAGAAAGACCGATTAAAATAGTTGTTACTTAACTTTGATCAATAAAAGATTATATCATTATCAGTAAATAACATAGCCAGGTGCTGATTTTAAGTTATAAACATTTCTGATGTAATACGAATAAGAGCGGTGCCACCGCTATGCCCATAGCGGATTTATCGCTTCAATTGCGCCCGTCTGGGGAAACAACGGCCACTGTACATGGGACATCAGAAAAATAGCACTACCTTTTGGTGGTCTTGTATTTTTGCTGGTGATTTGATTTATGATTGAGTTAAGGCCGGCAAGGTGAGGATGGATAGAGCGGCATACCTTCTGCCGCACCATCTATCTTCGTGACTGGACTCCGCTTACACTTAACATCAGATCGGTCACATCACATTGCTGCGAATCGTATAAAATAGCACTAAAATTATATCTGTACGGTTTTCCTATTTTTTCTTATTTTTCTCAGAAATAATAGTTTAAGTGCCAACTGTCCTTAAATTGTCAAATATAAGTAAAATGAAACGTTTTCAGGTGCTGGTTTGGGTATCAATCTCATTATACATACTGGATTGTGCAAGGGCCGCGACTTTCAATAGTCATGGTAAGTACATCTTTAATTTTATTCTATTATGCCTTACACTATGACATACTTATACTACTATCTTGAATAATAATTTCGGCATGCTTATTATTAATTTTTGTTAAAACACTTTGCGGGTAAACTATGTGTATCTTTCCGACTTTTGTTATAAGTGTCAATATTAAAAGGGAGTGCGGTATGTCGTATTTAAAACTGTGTGCATTATATATTGCCTAACAGTCAGTACTTTACAAAACCTTCACTTTCAATACGGCTCCCTGGGCTCTCTCAAGACTACTAAAGTTTTGAATGTACCACCACCCCAAGATGTAATAATGCAATAAGTTAGTATAGACTGACATAAAGCGGAATACACTTGTTTTATTTATTTCGAATCTGCAATAACGCGCAGTTTTAAAAAATATATACATTTACGGATACTTTTCCTCAGTGCATTAATGTACGGCCAAAATGAGAGTTTGGTCAATGATCACACCAAGATATTTAATTTGGTTTATACTATCGACAGCTGGACACTGACTCTGGCAATTGGTAGGGTCTTAACAAAAATAAACATACAATTCTCGTTTTATATTTACAGATCAACATCATATTACAGCTGAATATATTAAGAGTATCGATACTGCAAATGTATGCGAATGTAAATCATTTTATCGCGGCAATAGCCAGGTGAGTAAGATTATTGATATGTTTTTAGAATGTCGTAGTCTTTATGATTCATCTATTTACGCATCTACATTATATCGCTGCTGGTCTGCTAAGAATACCTACTTTCAAATGATATTAGTACCTAGATATACATATACTTACTTTGACAATTAGTTGTTAGCCTTAGATTAAAACAAAAAGGCAGTAGTTGGTTCGTGCTAAGGGTACTAAAGGGTACAGTTCTGTCTTGCCCGCTTGTTTGAATTCTTATTCACAGAAGTATGTGTGAGAGTTGTTTATGTACAACTCTCACACACACTTATAGATACAGTAAGCTCATACTAGCATCAAATAAAATATGTCTAATACTACATAAACAACTCTCACACACACACTTCTGTAAATAAAAATTCAAACAAGCGGGCAAGACAGAACTGTACCCTTAGCACGAACCAATATCGAATTCGAATAGTTTTCAACCTGTTAGTTTTGTATGGAAACTTGAACAGCAGCGTTAAAATGGATGTAACGAGAACTAAAAAACAGTACACATTTGACAATGACAATCGCACTTACAAACTATTCGAATTCGATATTGGTTCGTGATAGGGGATACTGTACGTTTCAACGCAGCGTCCGCGTCGCTAGGCAGCCGACTGCGTTTTCTTTTCCCTCCCTACGAACGGCTGAGCTGTCTAAAGTCATTTTGGTATGTTCTTCGGCGAAAAACATGTCAAAATGACTTTTCAAAGAAACAACCTCATAGACTTAATGGAGCAAGCTAAGGAACTCACCGATGTATAATAGAAATAAGCTCAGCCTCCCTTCTTTGTTGTCTGTCAGTAGTGGCACAAGCGGGGCGTTAAGATGTACCCGTGGGCTGTAAGGCGCTTTGCAGACGGCGGGGCGGAGCGGGCAGGTCAATTTCGCCGCGAACGATAGCACAAAGTGAATCCTATACTACAAACACACACAGAGGGCAAAAAGACCGCGCCGCAGGTGCCCGGCGGGCACTGGCGGCGCGGCATGTCCGCGGCTGCCCGCCGTGGATCATACAAACCAGTTTTTATGCAGTAACGCAGACGGCGGCGCGGGGCGGCTAGCTCAGTCCGCGCCACGCGCTTTTTAGTGATGGACTATTTACTAGAACGAACGTCCTGAACTGACTGCCTCTGCCCGTCGTGTGCTTTCTGTACGCGGCGAGGGCAGCCGCAGTCATCGACGGGCAGACGCGGTTTTTATTGCTTCGCGGACAAAAAGCCCGCCCGCCCCGTCGTCTGCAAAGCGCCTAACTGCACTGGTGTAGGTCGGGATGGGCGGGGTTGAGAACGCGGGCTGAGAACCAGCAGGTTGAGAAGAGGTGGTGCAGTACTCTTGCACCGTTGGCCTCACGTTCAGATGTTAATGTATATTTAATCATTATGTAATGAAAGGTGACATCCTGTATCATCTCTGAAGTCATTTTTTTATTTGATGACTCTGTAAATAATAAAACAGGGAGAAAAAAGCAGCCCTTGCTGGTTTCTTGCCGGTTCTTCTCAGTACAAAAGTCTCCCGTAGATTTACGAACCGATGGCGTAGCTTCTAGATAATTATGAGTGCTTGTAATAGCCTAAACTGAATTATGAATGGGAGCTCCTCGTTACCTATGCACTACTAATTTTACACTGATTTTTTTAAGAAATTAGTAGAATGAATTTAGTAAATAAATAAAAAAATATGCGATTGAGAGACGTCTGTCTTCTGAAGAGGATCCGCACTGGGTCTGCGTTTTGGGTCATGGACCAATCCCCCTATTCCGACAAACTATTAGACCTAGTCCACAGCCATCGCCATCAGTGTTCGCCCACCTAACTGCCTATCTAAATAGGTAGGTACCCACCCAGTTGCATAGCTAGCTGCCTCGCTAAGGTGTGACGGAAAAACCCAAAATTTTTTTTTACACTTAGCCACCATTCGGAAAGGTACTTGGTTCCAATAAAAGGACAAGTGCGAGACGAACTCGCCCATCGAGGGTTCCGTACTTTGTAGAATAAGCAACATACGCGGTCGTATCTTTTTACACCGTAGACCTGAGTAAGTACATGGTTCAAATCTCAATACGATACTTTCACGCATTCCCGAGATAAAGGGTCTTACTTGACAGACAGACACAGACTGGCAGACAGACGGACAGCAAAGTGATCCTATAAGTGTATGGTTTCTAGGGTTCCGTATTTCAAAAGGAAAAGACGGAACCCGGAATAGCACTTTGTTATCCGTCCGTCCGTCTGTCAAGACCGTTTTTCTCAGGAACGCGTGGAGGTATCAAACTGAAATTCATATCTAATACTCAGGTCTACTGTTCTTTAGAGCTTTGATAAAATTAAACTTCTAAGCCAAAGCAATGAAATGATACAGCCGTTTATGCCGCAAATTTTCGAAACTCGCACGGCGATCGATACCTACAGGGTACTTCCCGTGAACTTAGAATCTTGAAATTTGGTACGAAGTTACGTCTTATAGTACAGATAAAGGAAAAATTGCGAAAACCGTAAATTTTTAGTTACATCATATAACTAATAAAAAATATTTTTTAATAATTATTAAAATACTAGCAAACCAGTGAACCAAATGTTCATCAAAAAAAAATTAATTAATTGAGAACTTCGGAGATTTTGTGTGGTTTCGTTTGAAATAGAAATCACGTTATTTCTCGAAAACCAGAAGTGCTACGTTACTCAAATCCGGTTTGTAGTCTTATCAGACTATTCTTAACTTATAACTTAAACATTCTCTTTATCTATCTCTTACGGTTTGGCCGCTGAAACAGCACCACGGACGGACTTGTCTAATAGATAAGAGATACCTACAGATTTGTACAGAACCCTCTTCGGTGCACGAGTCCGTCTTGGCCGTTCTTTTTTTTACCTTCGTTCCAACCGAGTTTTCCACGGCACTCACGTTTGCCTTTTATGAATGTAGGAAGGAGTTCCGCACTGCAATCATGATGCTCCTTCTACTCGAGGTCTACAACGTGCTGGGCATGCTGAACACTCCCGCAACCGACAACCTGTTCCTCTACGGATTGTGGAACTTCACCAACGACTTTCTGCGCTCCTTCCAAGGTTTCTTCCTCGCTATGATCCACTGCTTCATGGACGACGAGGTGAGTTCACTATGTCACGAGTTCACCGTGACCGTATTACAGAATGACAACTAAGTGTTGATCTTTACTTGAGTACAGTTAGACATCCACATCTCTTTCTATCTATGCTCAAGACTAGTGATCGAATGATTATCCGCATCCGCATTCGCATTCGCAAAATCTCTGCGAATGTTTTGCGAATATGAATACAGTGGATCCCCGGTAGTCCGACAAACATTTTACAGGGCAGTGTCGAACTATCGAATTTGTCGGATTATAGAGTACTGCCTAAGACCCCCTATAGCAGTGGCGGACTAACAGGGGGGCGGAAGGGGCGGCCCGCCCCGGGCCTCCGATCTTGGGGGGGGGGGGGGGGGGCAAATGCCTCTGCGTTCGGTACTAAGCATAATAATACATAATTTCATCAAGATCAAAACGCTACAGTAATCTAGACTTTTTACGCGGTACTAATATTTATTTAACTTTGTTGAACGCTGGGGGAATTCCCGTCTTTGTAGCGGGTACTTCCTCAGGAATCCCTGAATGAATGAAGTTCAAATAATTTACTCTTGTACGCATACATTTACATTAACTTCATTCTATTTAGTGGTTCTTACGAAATAAACATAAGAATCTACATTTTTTTTTAAAGCTGGGAGCCTCCTGCAGCTTTGCCGCCCCGGGCCTCTGACGGGCTTAGTCCGCCACTGCCCTATAGTCCGATTAATTATAACAACTAAAAAAAAATAAACAGCAATGCCAAATAGTTAAATAGTTAGGTAATGTCAACATATTTTCAAGTTATTGTTCTCAGGCCTGTATTATACACAATGACATTCTTCTTATACCTACCGCCGCCGCGACCCGTGTCGAGCGCGGCAACCGTTACACAAAAATAATCCTTATAGCATGATTCAGTATTCACGTGCGACGGCGCGATGGCTTATTTCATGTATAAGTTTGGTGTTTCTATACCGATTTCTATGATTCTTTTTTTATTGAATAGGTAATAATGTTAACTTTTTTAAATAAGGGATGAGTGAGAGTATTATAAACGTAAGAGTAAACAAATATAATCAGAATACTCCGAACTGCTAAGCTATCAGGAGTTACACGTGTTATTGTGAGTCAACCATAAAAGATAGACATATGCTGTTGCGGGATATTTTTTAGACAATAGGCTAGTTGACCCTTTTTGGAAAAAGGTTTTAAATGGTTAATAAATGTTCTATTAGACCGAAAAAAATGTATTGTATTTTATTTAAACCTAGAAAGCTACAAATCTTTAATTTTAAAATAGACTTTTCATGGACATACAAAAACGCTGTCGGCCATTTTAGTCTATAGATTGTCTATGCTATGACGTGAACTGTGGTAAACAAAAACTCGTAAACACGTAGAAAATTACTTTTAACTGAGTTTATAATAAAAAAAAACATGATTTCTAATAAATACCACGAAAAATAAAGTAATTATCATTACTGTATTGTACGAGAATATAAAAACACATCCTTGAAGACTCCAGGAAAGTTGTGGATTAAAGTGCGGAAAGAAATTAACCTACGCAACTTTATTACACTTATTCATATGTTGTATCAGTTTTATGTTTATTACTACATTGTAATACTAAATGCACTGTACTTACATAGATGCCTTGTCGTTTCTCTGCTCCGCAGAGCAGAAATCGGGGTTTAGTGCAACAAATTCACCAACCATCAATGCGTCAATTCTTGGCAGATTTGTGCTTTCTGCGATCACAAAGCCGGCATCCATAACTTGTTTAGTCAAAAAAAACTAAGTTTACTGTTTTTTTCTTTCCTAAAGTTAAAAGTGTTTTAAAATAAATTTAGTCAGACGAAAGAATCCACCTACAGTAACACGCGAATGACATTTAGTTGTTTACCACAAGAGACGTCAAAATCATGGCGAATGTGGCGAACAGCGTTTTTAGTGTTTAAAAAATATAGACTAAAAAATATTTTTTTAAATTAAATTTCTACAGCAATCTTCTGCTTTTATGAAGTGAAATCGATATATTAAGGTTCCTTAGACTAAACACTTTAAGAAATAAACATTTATTTAATACAATTCGACATGAGTAAACTAGCCTATTTTTTTAACTATTTTTAAAATAATGCCGTGATCTATGCATTTTTATATTTACCAATCAAATAAAAAGAGGTTTGAAAAATTACCACATACAATCAAAACAATAAACCATAAATCCCAGAATTATTTGACATTTTAACGAGCAAAAACAAAGCAAAATTAAAAACACTAATGGTTTTGTATCAAGTTTGTCTATTAAATGTCATTTCAGTTTTGGTCACCTTGCCCATAGATGAATGATTGGTCTCGTTCATCTATGTATGACCTTACCTTCATTTATCTATGACCCTACCTTGGGTGTATTCCGTAAAGTATACCAGTATACTGGCCAGTGCTAATGACGTCATGAATGGACACTATACTGGTGAATTGTTCCGAAATATATTGGCCAGTGCACTGACGTCATAAATCATCGAAATATTGAAAAAGTGCGAATAAAGAAGATTTTTTATTCACCTCATCAATTAAAAGGAATTCTTTGTGTTCGGGTGCAATTATTCATCTTTAAATAAAAAAGAAATAAAATTCGAATGCATGCATCTCACGCACGCTCGGTCATATGTCATATTCGTTTTCCCGGTAAAATTATGGTAGCATACCAGTACAAGATGGCGTCGGATTCGTGACGTGATTACCACTGGCCAGTATACTGATGTATATTTCGGAATACACCCCTTTTTCCGTGGAAAATATGACACCATCATATTAATACCAAACGTATTTTGACATTATTTTTTAGTAATTTTAATATATGAGTAAAATTTTTAAGCAGGTATATTTTATCACAGTAGGTATTTTTAAGAAAAGTAGATACGCACCTTACTTAAGTAAGTAATTAATGCACTACACAACACTCGTGCATTAATAACTCACTTTGCGCTCGATGCAACAATCTACTATTTCTTTCTTACTTTATGATAAATATTTTTTCCAATACTACTAAGGTCCACATGGCCATTCGCTACCACCTCGATCATCGTCGCGCTAGAGGACAGTTGCCCAGACGGCCGCCACCCCCCAGGCCACCTCCGGGTTCTTCATTCGCCACCGTCGCCAGGTAACACCCCAATTTTCAATTCGTACGCGTTAGGTCACAGTTAGACAGCGCGTGCGATTTTATTTATTTAGAACTATTTTTTTGAGCTGTTATTTAAATATTCGAGATGTTCTTATGATCAGGTAAAAACATATTTAGCAGGTATTTAGGCGGTTGATTAATTATTGCGACAGTAAAACATGGACAATTATAATAAATCAATTAATCGGTTGTTTTGTCAGTCCAATAACTGAATGAGCCGTAAAAATTATGGTATGACCGGTTCGATATACAGGGTGAAATTGAATGTTTTAATGAAACTTCGTGGGAATGTTGGGTTACGTATATAGAGTATCTCTGAATTTTTTCGGATTTTTTAAAAAATGATTTAAAATAAGATTTTGTTTTTTTTTTGTTATATTTTAAGTCCTTTCCTCCTTTTGGGTACTAAATAATTATTCTTTTAAAACATGCATACAGAGTAAGTAAAAAACAAGTAATAAGCACTACTAAAAAAGACGTAAAAACAGGAGACGGGCGGCCGGGAGCAATGACCGCTCCCGCCGTTGAATACCTTCCTGCCTACCTATCTAGGTATGCGCGGTGCATAGCGCAGTGAGCGAGCGGAGTCTCAAGCGCGCGTGCGTATCTTTTAAATTTGTGACAAGACAAGATTTGCAAATAATGCCTTGATTAGTTCTCGTTCTGTGCCCTCAATATAAGAATTTGGATATGGTGTGTTGTTATTGCGAGTGTCACGGAATACTCAGCAGAGCCACAAGGCTTTACGAAAGTAGGTTTGGTGATTTATTGGGAAGTTATAGAGAAAAAAATTAATAGGTACATCGGTCTCGTAAGTACTTTTGAATACCTGGTAATAAATTTCATTCTGACCCAAGTATTGAACTGCAATAAGTATTTCTTTTTGTTTAACTTTTGCCTATTTCCAATCGTGACAAAATTATTATTAACTTTTTAAGTTTTTCTCTGCTTAAGAGAAGATGACATTTGTGCTTATTATTTCAATTTCAATAAAGGCATCTGAGACGATTTTATTGTATTGTGTGGAATCAAACGAGTCAGCTGAGCTCTGTGTACGTACCTACTCACTCAACGGCTGGCGGGCGCGGTCGGTCGTTGACCCGCGGTGGAATTTTACTGTTTTTCCGTTTTTTAGAAGTGCTTATTTATTAGTTGTTTTTCACTGGATATGTAAGCATGTTTGTTTAATATGAATAACTACTCAAAAGGAGGAAAGGACAAAAAAATACACAAATTATAAATAAATACATGAAAAAAAATACTTCAAACAAATCCGAAAAAAATCAGGCATACTCTATACTCGTAACCCAACAATCTCACGAAGTTTCATTAAAACATCCAATTTCACCCTATATAATTCGGCAGATCATAGCGAGTGGTGACACGCGAACTCAAATTCGTTGAAAAGAGAGGTAAATGTCGTTAGTTGGGTTAAAACATTCCACTCAGACAAAAGAGGAAGAGATTAGAATTGTTTAGAATGAGATTTCTTACCGACAAATTCCGATTTATTACTGCCTGCACGTAACCGATCAATCAATATTTTTTACTGTCCATTTAATTATTTTCCTGCACAAATATATATTCGCTGCTCCATTAATATTTTTTGCTTACTTTACTGCTTAGTTTTAACTGCTGAACTAATTATTAAACGTGCCATTAAAAATTTTTAACTTACCAAAACTGCTATTTAGAACTGCCTCTTTAAATCAGTGCCATATTTATTTGCGCGTGTCATATAGTACAGTCAATCTGTCGAAAAAAAATCGTTTCAGTGAAAAAAAACCTAAAGGGTAAGTCTTGTTTTTCTGTTGCCAAATGACGTCAGTAAGCCACCTTGGCGATGGGCATGTTCAACTCGTAGGCGTTTTTTAAAAAACTCAAAAAAACCCTCAAAAATATTTTGAAACGCATTTTTCTTGTTTTGTATGCATTTTAGAAACTTTTTTTCGACCATAATTGTAGAGCGCGTTGAGTACTACAATTTATGTCATTGTTGCAATCTCGTACAACAAAAAATGCGCATTGTAGGTGGCGCTAAAGTCTCAGAAAAAGTGTTTTTTCGCTTTTTCACCCTGAAAATATCATTTTAATGGAAAACTTTAAATAGAAAAGCTGTTCCGTACATAATTACCAACAACTTTTGTATAAACAATTTTTTTGTATTACTTACCGTTTTCAAGTTATAAATTGCGCAAGTATGAAAAATCCAATAGAGCGGTTTTTGTACATTTCAATGTACGTTTTTACTATTTAAAAAAAATAGTAAAACGTACATTGAAATGTGCACTGCAAATGTGTATTTGAACCGCCCAAAACCGCTCTATTGGATTTTTAGGCCCGTATTATAGAAAGACTCTCAGTGATTGATCTAGTCTTGAGCATAGTTAGAAAGGGATGTCGCTATATATAGCACATGGCGACATCCCTTTCTAACTGTACTCAAGTAAAGATCAACACTTAGTTGTCTTTCTGTAATTCGGGCCTTAATTTAGCTTTTTTGAGAATCCTACGGGACAGAAACCTATTTTATAGGTTTCTCTATGTTTCAATCCGGGTAATATGTATGCCAAATTGTATCCTAATCCGTTCAGCCGTTTTTACTTGATAATTTACTAAGGTAGGTACTAGCACTTATACGCAGCTTAATAAAGAAAAAAACGCTAGAGATTTTGACACGAAAATGGCCTCCAACTATTCTCCCTGTACGAACTACGAAATGCAGGTTATTAGGTTAAGTAATATAATAAATACTATACTAATGTCTGTGCGGAAAGAGAATGGGCGTGGCGAAAAACAGAACTAACATTAAGATTTTTATTTGGCAATCAAATCCAGCATTCTGTAAAACGTCAAAGTTTTGTATTGATACGGATTTGTTTGTTGTTGTGATTTCTTGCGGTTTTTTGTATTTAATCATGTCTAAAAGGGGTAAAACCTTACAAATACGGTAGAAAAGCACTACAGCGCCCCCAATCTAAATCCCATTCTCTTTCCGCACAGACTCTAGCACTTATACGCAGCCTCATACAAAAAAAAAACGCTAGAGATTTTGAAGCGAAAATGACCTCCTAGCTAGAAATGAGCTATTTCCTCTGTACGAACTACGAAACACAGGTTATTAGGTTAAGTAATATAATAAATACTATGAGTACTACTGAGTCGTGCATGAGAATCTCGCTATGATACCGCCAGTAAGTAGTATGTTTAAACAAACCCACGATCACACATGGCGAACTCTTTAATAAAGGTTTGAATAACAAACGAAAGGAAATTTTTCAAAAATACCACAAACATGTGAAAGATAAAGGATAATGTTTTTTTTTAAACTCCTTATCTAACGAAGAACTGTTGGAGGCTGCCATGCTTTGTCCTGAAGAAAGAAATTACTTACTTTACATTTTCACTATCAGACTACGTGACTGACTAATTGATTCAAATTAATATTGATAAAAATGCACTCGGAAATACTTGTCTGTTTTAAAATTATCTTCGATGGATTGTGAATTGTGAATTTTTTTGTCTTATTTTAATTTTCCTCTCTAGTATTAATACAGTTTGTTTAATTTATACATTGATAGGAACACTGTTTCATATACGGGAATGCGCGTTAATTCTGCAACACAGGTTTTGTAAAACTATAGCAGATTTAACGATTCATAATATGTATTATGTACATTGCACCTGTTCCAAATAAAGTTATTATTATTATTAATGATATTTAGCAACATACATAAGTTTAATTTCTATTCTCTTGCCCAGGTTTCCTTATTTTGGGTGGGGCAGCGTCCCCTATAAATTTTGTTTGAATATTTATTTCCTTTTAGTAGACGACTTTCAATATTTTATTAACATATCCCATTTTTCTTGTAAGTATATTAAGAGTCAGACTTTTCTAAGAAATATAATGGTTTGTCTTATTCAGGAGTCCTGATTTAATCGAGATGACACACCCTCAGTTCAGTGCCTTTGAAACCTACAGCAATGAGACCCGCTTCGAAGCATACAGTGTGTAAGTACTGTAACGATCTAAATATCCCTACCTGGGGGCCATTCGCCTAACGGAAATGCTTTGGAAAACGCTAACGCTTTCGATTTTATTTTGTTACTAGTGGCCCGCCCTCACTTGGCTTCGGTGTAGAGCTGAAGTGTAGACTATAGTTTATTTATTTATTCAATTTAAACATGCAGGCTTACAGAATAATCCAACACGCCGGCAAGTCATACATACAAAATATTAACAATCATGGAAGGTATTCATTAAATTCAATAAAATTAAGACAAAGAGATAATCAAATAATAATAATTATAACAACTAAAAAAAAATAAACAGCAATGCCAAATAGTTAAATAGTTAGGTAATGTCAACATATTTTCAAGTTATTGTTCTCAGGCCTGTATTATACACAATGACATTCTTCTTATACCTACCGCCCCGCCGCGACCCGTGTCGAGCGCGGCAACCGTTACACAAAAATAATCCTTATAGCATGATTCAGTATTCACGTGCGACGGCGCGATGGCTTATTTCATGTATAAGTTTGGTGTTTCTATACCGATTTCTATGATTCTTTTTTTATTGAATAGGTAATAATGTTAACTTTTTTAAATAAGAGATGAGTGAGAGTATTATAAACGTAAGAGTAAACAAATATAATCAGAATACTCCGAACTGCTAAGCTATCAGGAGTTACACGTGTTATTGTGAGTCAACCATAAAAGATAGACATATGCTGTTGCGGGATATTTTTTAGACAATAGGCTAGTTGACCCTTTTTGGAAAAAGGTTTTAAATGGTTAATAAATGTTCTATTAGACCGAAAAAAATGTATTGTATTTTATTTAAACCTAGAAAGCTACAAATCTTTAATTTTAAAATAGACTTTTCATGGACATACAAAAACGCTGTCGGCCATTTTAGTCTATAGATTGTCTATGCTATGACGTGAACTGTAGTAAACAAAAACTCGTAAACACGTAGAAAATTACTTTTAACTGAGTTTATAATAAAAAAAAAACATGATTTCTAATAAATACCACGAAAAATAAAGTAATTATCATTACTGTATTGTACGAGAATATAAAAACACATCCTTGAAGACTCCAGGAAAGTTGTGTTTTAAAGTGCCGAAAGAAATTAACCTACGCAACTTTATTACACTTATTCATATGTTGTATCAGTTTTATGTTTATTACTACATTGTAATACTAAATGCACTGTACTTACATAGATGCCTTGTCGTTTCTCTGCTCCGCAGAGCAGAAATCGGGGTTTAGTGCAACAAATTCACCAACCATCAATGCGTCAATTCTTGGCAGATTTGTGCTTTCTGCTTTCACAAAGCCGGCATCCATAACTTGTTTAGTCAAAAAAAACTAAGTTTACTGTTTTTTTCTTTCCTAAAGTTAAAAGTGTTTTAAGATAAATTTAGTCAGACGAAAGAATCCACCTACAGTAACACGCGAATGACATTTAGTTGTTTACCACAAGAGACGTCAAAATCATGGCGAATGTGGCGAACAAGGGCGAACAGCGTTTTTAGTGTTTAAAAAATATAGACAAAAAAATATTTTTTAAAATTAAATTTCTACAGCAATCTTCTGCTTTTATGAAGTGAAATCGATATATTAAGGTTCCTTAGACTAAACACTTTAAGAAATAAACATTTATATAATACAATTCGACATGAGTAAACTAGCCTATTCTATGTAGAATATTTCCGTCATACATGATTTCTATGTAACTTTAACCATTAAGGCTGCACACGCAACGGAAGCTAAAAAAATGGAGTAACTTCTCCCGTTTTCCCAACATTTCCCTTCACTACTCTGCTGCTATTGATTGTAGCGTGATGAAAAGTATACTATAACCTGCCCAGGAGTATGAAGAATAATTGTACCAAGTTTTGTTAAAATCCGTCGAGTAGTTTTTGTTTCTATAAGGAACACACACACAGACAGACAGACAGACAGACAAAAAATTTACTGATTGCATTTTTGGCATCAGTATCGATCACTAATCACCCCCTGATAGTTATTTTGAAAATATATTTCATGTACAGAATTGACCTCTCTACAGATTTATCATAAGTATAGATTTCTGACTGCCGAAGGTTTTCGAATACCTCACGCTCATTTTTTTTAATATTGTTATTACCAAAGCAAAAGAACAAAAAAGAGCGCGAGGCATTTGAAAACCTCAGGCGGCTAGAAATAACAAAATGAAATCGTAAGCGTTAGCGTTTTCCATAGCATTTCCGTTAGGCGAATGGCCCCCTGGACTATTGAACATCACCTTGTAGCAGTAATTTGGTGTTGGTGGAAAGCTTTTGTTTGTGATTGTCCTTTAGTCCGCTCGATCAAACTGAGGAGACTTTTCAGTCTCAATAGGTGATTAGGTATTAGTTTTGCATTTCTAAGTAAGTAAGTACCGAGTTCTACTAATAGAACAATATGCAAGAAATGTTTTACCTGGTTGAAGAAGCTCGCATAGTTGGGAGGCGGCATTTAGGCATTTGTCCGACCGTGGGCGATGAAGCGACTTACAATCGGCTATTTTCTCGCTCAGGAAACGTACCTACAATAGATATACCTACAATGTACGTTCCATGCAGTGTTGCCAGAAAAACAGGAAATAATCTTGTAAAATCGGGTTTTACAGCAGATTTCCTGTTTTTCTGAAATTTCTCTTGTTCTTCTGTTTTCTCCATGAATCTACTGTTTTTCTTAGAATACGATTTTCTTTTTACCCGACTGCGCAATGCAAGAGCGCGAAGCGCGACGCGCAGACAGGGTATAGTTTAAATATGTATGTTTGTTCCTTTGTGGCACACTAGAGACCAAACGCGTGGACCGATTTTGATAATTTATACATCAATCGATTCGTCTTAATCATGGAAGTGCTACTAAATATATGATAATAATCAAAAATCAATATGGAGACAACTGGGCGCCATATTGTGAGAAAGAAAAAAAAATAAGTTGCCGAAATATGTCGAGTGGGGTATCATTGTCTAGATAATCAAAAATCATGTTTAGGTTCCTTACACCATTTTTCATTTTATATGATTGTTTAGGATCTACAACGATTTAAAGTTGTATATTAACCACTTGCGCTTTTAAGGGGCCATCCATAAATTACGTCACACTTTAAGGGGTAGGGAGGGGGTCGACGAAATGTGACATCGTGTGACAAGGGGTGGGAGGGGTCCTAAATTTCGTGACGTCACATTTCAAAATATATTAAAATCTAAGTGTTGAAACTATTACTTTACGAAAGCATTAACAACCCAAACGAGAACAAAGTGGTGCTATGCCAGTTATAAATAATTTAAAGGAGTGGGATCAATGTCCATGGACTCAAGATTATTAAGTTTGTATCTTTAATTTAATTATAATGCTATTAATATTTTATGTTTTGTTAATTTCTTTAATTAACATAGTCAATCACTTTTTGTTCGGTAATTTTTTTGTTTTGTTAATTGTTTGATTTGATTATAATAATAATGAAAAAACAATTTAAATGGAAATAAAACTGATTACAGAACCGCTGTTTTCATTCAATGATTTCTAAATGTAAATTTGCAAAATATGTGACGTCACACTAGGGAGGGGGGGAGTCTTACAAATGTGACCAGCTGTGACAAGGACGGGGGGAGGGGCAAAAAAGACATGAAATTCGTGTGACGTAATTTATGGATGACCCCTAATTTCAATCTTACATTTGTATGGATCTTTGTAACTCTTTCACTCAAAAAATACTAAACGGATTTTAATCAAACTAACCAATAATAAAGCTCATACATAATAATAGCATATAGATTATAATTTACGTTGTTATTTCGTGAATTGGCTAAAATATAACAATAAGTGTCACGTGAGATGGAAAAAATCTCCCATCTGAGAGCCATTTTGGTCTGCACTGCAAAAACAATAAAAGTTATATGAATATAATGTATGGTGGAATTGTATCTCTTATATAGTTCTACAAAAAAGTCTAGGACAGCATATATCTATTTTTAGTGTGTAGGTCATTATAGCTAAAATAGTGAATCAAAAATAAAATATTATTTGAAATAAATTTCCAAATGCATATTTTTTATAAACAAATTATTTTTTATCAAAACAAATACTTTTATCGCTTTTGATATTTAAAGACGATAAACTTTGCCTTTTATTCTGTGTAATTTCGATTAATATTTAAAGAGTTACAACGATGTTATGATGACAAAGTGATAGAGCGTTTTGCTATGCAGGAGTACGAGTACCTATACTGCGGGAATGGTGGATAAAGTCATGAATTTTGGTGTTTATAAACGTAGATAAACCTAGGAGGAAAAGAAATGGGCTATTCACAGTATCTAATCCTGTACGAAGTACTTACAGTAAAACTGTGATAAAGTTCCTTCTTATTAAATGATGAAAAATAAGTTAACCTAATAGGTATTTACATTTTTTTAAATTTAATGAAAAACTGAGAATGAAACGGTTTTCAAAGTTTATTTTAACGATATTACTTCGTATTATTCTGCAGATAATTCTGAAAAATTTGAAGCAAATAATATAATGCTTTATAGGTAAATCACCCTACCCCTATAGATATTTCGATAATGTAGCTTAGAACCAAGGCCCCATCTTTTTATATAGGGAAATTCATCATAATCGATTTAGCTATTAGGGCGCGGAATCGTAACAAAGAAACTCACTTTCGCATCTATAATATTATATTATACTAGTGATCCTCTCCGACATTGCATGGGCGTAATTTATTTTAACGCGATAGAATATAGCCTATATCACTCGAATATAATGTCAAATATAAAGAAAAAAAATACTAAAAAAACCCTCTCGGAGAAGTTGTTAGAATTTTTCAAAAGGTTTCTTTAGTTTTAAAAGTCGAGCAGATTAATCAACTTATTGAGATTAATGCTTAAAAATATATTAAATAATGTTTAATATATTTTCAAGCATTTTAACAAGCTAGCTACCTTGGTGAATGAAATTTTCGAAATCGGATCAGGTTTGAGAGATTATTTGTTACACACTACAACTCTTGCCTCTTTATAATACCTACCTATTAGTATAGATAGTTAGGATAACAATATTTTACCTCTGGCACCTACATACCTATTAGGTTCTGTGAATTATGTAAGTAAAGCAAATTATGAGACAAGGATATGCACTGCATTTGTGTATATCACAATCTTAGAGTTGCATACAGCCACTGCCAGTTTTAGATAGTCGACGAATAAAAGTATTTTTTTTATTTACTACTAAAAGAACATAAGCAAAAGATGACTTTTGAATAAATACGGAAAATAAGTACTAGTTAAGTATATTATTTACATGCATTAGATATACGGATAAGGAATTGATTTAACTTTACACATTTTTGCGAAAATTAAAGCCCATAAGGCCTTAACCCTGATGGTAAGGTGTCGTTTAAACCACCGCAAGGTACCATAATCTGCTTGGTATTAATTCCCTTATTGAAGTGACAAGACTGCAGTATATACCGTCTTATAATGGTAACTAAAAAGTGTAAAATAAAAAAGGTAAATTTAAAAAATCAAAAAACCCGACTGCTTTAATATTACTACAAATAAAAACTGAAAAGAAAAAAACAAATCCAGTAGTCTATAATTCTGTTAAGTAAGGAACAAAGCTACTTTAACAGTCGGGACCCATTAGATATTCAAGGATGGATCAATTTTTTTCAATAATGGGTCCCGACTGTTAAAGTAGCTTTGTTCCTTACTTAACAGAATTATAGACTACTGGATTTGTTTTTTTCTTTTCAGTTTGATTTGTAGTAATATTAAAGCAGTCGGGTTTTTTGATTTTTTAAATTTATCTTTTTTTAATTGCATGTTGAGTTGCGTTTTCCGCCATTAATAATGTAGGTAACCTAAATTATTATAAAATAAATATGATATAGTCTAAAAAAACGAGCTTTGAGGGGCGGCATAAGCCACAGAAACACATTCTTTATTGGCCTATACCTTGATTTGATTTACCAATTCTAGGGGGGGGGGGGGGGGGGTCAAAACGTAAAAAGTACGCCTCTGCATCTACTATTTTTTCTTGTAGCTCTTTCCTTACATCTACTGCTTTATTTTATAAAGACTCCCGATTTTTTTTTAAATCGGACCTGGCAACACTGATTCCATGTATACAAAAGAGATGCAGCTTTATAATAGTTGATCGCTGGCTGTTCACACTGCCGGCGAGAACTCGCGGCACCATGCGTCTTCTTCCCTTTTTGTTTTAATAATAATAAGTGTTAAAGAATAATAATAAATTAACAAATATCGCCATAATAGTCCTAATATATTTTATTTTTTGCAGGATAGGATTACCCAATTTAATGTTGGATTGCCGCACTTTGGAAACCAGTGTTTAAAACATTAAAATGTATAACTTTGTATCGAGTGTCGATCAAATCCATGTACATTAAGACTTTTAGATTTTCACTTCAAAACAATGTTTACATCATAGATAAATGATTGGTCTCGCTTCACTCGACTGAAGCGAGACCAATTATTCATCTATGGTTTACATAATATAATAATGCATAAATAAAATAAGATAAGACGGTGCTATTTGCAAAGATATAAATCGTAATCGTTGGCTATTTGATACAACATAAAAAAAATCATAAACAAGTACAATAACGGAGCAGTTTCCTGTTATTATTTATCTTAAAATACAGATTACCTTAGACTATAGCATACCAATTTAATCAACAATTTAAATTAAACTCTAATTCCTATCGTTCTAATATTCGTAAGTATCAAATTTTCATGGCAAACATGAAAGAAGAGGAGAAGAGCAAATAGTAAGAAGAAGTCGTACGCGCGGCTGCGATCGTTGAAGTTAAGCCACTTTCGCAGCACGAGCAGGGCATAAGCATGGGAATGTCGTCCTTGGCCGCCTGCCGTTATGCGTCAGTATAGTTAAGTTTAATACTTGTTTATCTATGAAGTATGTTTGTTTATGACCAGTGGTAACATTTGGTATAAATAAAATTAAAGAACTTGGCCGCTTGTAAAGTGGCTGCTAGTCACAGAATACCTAAGCGATGCAGTTTTTATTTTAGTATTCCGTAACTAGTCATTTTTAGTTAAGATTATTTATCAAAGATAAATATCCAATGTTCTCGTATTACTGTAATAAATTTGCTAGTCTTAGAAATTATAAGTATTAGTCTCACCAATGAAGTTACTTACTGTTTTGTGGTTTAGAACCACCGTTGTTATTCTTCTTAGCTATCAAAATATGCGAAGGTTATTTAATAATAATAATAAAACTCTTTATTTTACACCACAAAAAATATAACACATTATACATAATGCTTACAGTGTAAAAATGGAAAGAGGCTGAAAAATCTTTGTAAAAACCGAGTATGTAAAACAAATAAACACATGAATACATACATACACTCATACATACATAGGTAAATACATACATATATATTTACATATTAAAAAATACATACATATATACCATATATAAGTCTAATTCATTCTTCATTCATCATTAAATAAGGACATTATAGTGAGATCTGAGAAGGTTTTTGAATCTGTGTAGAGATTCTGCACGTCTTATGGAAACTGGAAACGAGTTCCATAGGCGAACAGCTTGCACTGCGAACATAAAAAGTTGTTCCGTGCACAGGTGTAATACGAGTAAAATTTTCTGATGACCTTAGGGACAATGCGTTAGACGTGTGAAGGAAGTTAAAACATTCCTTAAGATAGCGCGGGGTCAAAGGATTAAACAGTACGTTATAGAGAAGATTAAGGATATAAGTATTCCTGCGAAAGCGAATAGGCAGCCACTTGAGCTGTGAACGAAATTGAGAAACATGATCATATTTGCGCAGGCAAAATATGAATGTTAGGTTATTTAAATACTTTGTTGTTATTTTAAACTAGCTGTGGCCCGCTGTGTTACCCGCGGTTTATTAGGGATATTTTTCCGCAGTAAAACGTAGCCTATGTCTTAATCCAGGGTGTCAACTAACTCCATACAATTTTTTATTAAATTCGCTGCAGTCGTTTAGACGTAAAGAAGTAACACACACACTCAGACACTTTCGCCTTTATAATACTAGCATCCGCCCGCAACTTCGCCCGCGGTAACTTTAGTTTTTTGAGAATCTCACTGGAACCTAACATTTTTCCGCGATAAAAATTACTCTGTCTAAATCCAGGTCACAAACTGTATGCGTAAAAAGTTATGTACAACGTACATTATCCGCGAATTCAGTATCATCGATTTTCCCATGGGAATAAGATATTTTCCCGCAGTAAAACGTAGACTATGCGTTAATCCAGGGTGTCAGCTTACACCATACCAAATTTGATTAAAATCACTCCAGCCGTTTAGACATGAAGAAGTAACAAACATACACACACACACTCACAAACTTTCGTCTTTAAAATATTGGTGTGATTAGTGTGATTGGCATGAAATTATAGACTATGGCGATATTCATTTTAATCTCTAGCCAATAATAAATTTTTAGGTTATAAGAATTTATTTTTTTTATATAGTATGTAGCAAAGGAAATGGTTCGACGAAAGCTATATAATTTGGAAACTTATTATTTGTTATAACATGAACAGATACCTACTTATATTTTTATTTACCCTCAATTAATTTTAAATCGTGTTAATCCAAGTGTCATATTAACTCTGATGTTTTTTTTTGAACTAGGTACCTATATAACTGTTCTATATATGTATAATTTTACTATGTGTAATTTTTTCATTGTGCTTTAAAATATTTTATTGTGAACTGTGATGTGAGTTCACAAACTGTATTCATTAACATTCTATATTTAAGAAAATAACTATTATTTTATCAAATCATTATAATAAGGCTAATGTTGTTTACACAGATATAAAATAAATGTTTGTAAATATATCCATTAATCTTTTATTGGTAAAAAATGTGGCCAACATGCGATTAATTTACGAGTTGGCTTGTATTTAACTGCAAATCAAAAAATTTACATTTTATATAAAAAATAATTCCTAATCCTAAGCATAAATACTTATTGCACAGCAAAATAGTCACCTTAAATATAATAATATAATTACTTTAGTAACAATTTAAGTTCGTGATGCATCGCTATTTATTTAAGTAGTGATAACGGACCCAGTGTGGATTGGTGGATGATAACGGACCCAATGCGGATTGGTGGGTGATAATGGACCCGGCGCGGATTGGTGGGTGATAATAGACTCTATGCGGATTGGAGGGTGATAATGAACCCAGTACGGATTGGAGGATGATAATGGACCCAGCGCGGATTGGTGGTTTTTTTTCTATCAACAAATCTTCGTGTTAAGTTAATGATTTTCAGATCATTGAAGCTAAAGATGTTTTACTTCAGTCGTGTGGTCATAAGCACACTCGCTTTTTTTATAACTATCACAAGTGTCCTAATGTTGAGCAAGTTTTGAAATGCTATTGCAAAAATAGTTGTTTTGATATGAGTGTGAGTATTTTGCGTCGAAGCCCTTGTTAATTTTCTGTGCAATCGGTATATTTGCTGTGCAATCAGTATATTTGCTGTGCAATCAGTATATTTGATATGATAATCATATTTCTGTACAAATTATTGAATGCATGAATTATTTTCAGCACTAGTTTTGTTCAACAAATATTTTGTTTGCAGCTAAATAATTATTATGATTTAAAAAGTATTTAATTGCTGTAAATAACTTGATGGGTAATAAGTTATTTGCTGTGCATTTAAAAAATATCCCATTTCAAAGTGAATAAAAAATCAAAATGCGTAAAATAGACTATTAATTTGATGTGTTGTATCCCCTTATGTGGCTTCGGCTTTTTGGCAGTATAGTGCATTTCGGTACATATAGAATGATTTCATTATTTTTACAAAAAAAATATTTAAACAAAAATGACGTCACCTGCTTGTAAAAATCTCAGGAAACATGTTGTCGCAATGACTTTACTTTGTAGTCCTGTTTGACGTTTTAATGAAAACCGTGTGACGTCACCAGCCCGTAAACGTCCTTTTTGTTAGAGAAACGTTATGGAAACAGAATTTTTGTTTTCGTTTTTTTCTGATATACGCAAGGCAACAGAATTATAAATAAGTATCGACTTTTTATGGAGTCTATACACTAATAAATTACCACGCCGGACCGCCTGGTACCATTGATGGTAAAAATGGCACTGATTTCTCTCACCAGCTCCCGTAGCATGAGCACCACAATTTACGTAACATCACGTTTTTTTATCGCGTCTCACTGTCAAACTCCATAGTAATTTGACAAGTAGGCGTGATAAAAACGCGTTATATATCATATCGCGGTGCTCATGCCAGGGGGGTAATACCATTGCCATTGATGGTACAAATGGTACTGTTGTATCCCATCCCAATATTCCAGTGCTGCACCCTCGTAGCTGTGCCACCCCCTACATACGCACCTTATTATCATGTCCCGCTAGCGTTCGTAAAGGATGCTAGGCAGGACTGGCCCACAGTTTAGAATAAACTACAATGTCACAATAATCCAGTGATGCACCCCCGTCGCTCTGCCACCTCCTGATAAGTACTCACCTTGTAATCATAATCATGTCTCAGAGGCGTTACTGGTCCACAGCTTGATATAACTTCACAAATATCCAGTGTTGGTGTAATATCACAATATTTCAGTGATGCACCCTCGTCGCTCTACCACCCCCTATAACTTCACACATATTCAGTGTTGGTGTAATATCACAATATTTCAGTGATGCACCCCCGTCGCTCTGCCACCTCCTGATAAGTACTCACCTTGTAATCATAATCATGTCTCACAGGCGTTACTGGTCCACAGCTTGATATAACTTCACAAATATCCAGTGTTGGTGTAATATCACAATATTTCAGTGATGCACCCTCGTCGCTCTACCACCCCCTATAACTTCACACATATTCAGTGTTGGTGTAATATAACAATATTTCAGTGATGCACCCTCGTCGCTCTACCACCCCCTATAACTTCACACATATTCAGTGTTGGTGTAATATCACAATATTTCAGTGATGCACCCTTGTCGCTCTACCACCCCCTATAACTTCACACATATTCACTGTTGGTGTAGTATCACAATATTTCAGTGATGCACCCTCGTCGCTCTACCACTCTCTTTAACTTCACACATATTACGAGAGTATAATACGCCGCACAGCTTACAATAGCTTACTATAGCAAAAAGTGTCGTGACAACTTTTCGTAAGAATTTTTTCCGTCTAGCCCCCTTAGATTAAAACAAAAAGGGCAGATACGGTACGCTCATTCTTGCATCAAACAAAAACTGATCCCACGGCAGCGCGAACGGGACGGCGAGATCCGCGTCACTGCATTACCGACCCGAACGAAACAGCATGTTAAGTTTCAACGGCAGCGTGAACGAGACGGCGAGATCCGCGTCACTGCATTACCGACCCGAGCGAAACAGCACGCTAAGTTTCAACGGCAGCGCGAACGAGACGGCGAGATCCGCGTCACTGCACTACCGACCAATCACGCGACCAGTACTCGGCGATACTACCGAATAAGATTCAAAACAAACAGAATTTTTTATGAAAAAAAATATTTTATAATACTTACGAATGAAAAGTGATGCCGTGGGTTTTATTTTTAGTTCTTGAGCACTTTTTAAAAACACACTCGGGCATTGTTTAATCATATAAACACAAAATATTAGCAATATTTCTTTTTGGCGTTCACATGTACGTCGTTTGCATGTCAAGTTGTGACTAAAGCGATTAGGGTCGTGGACCACAATTGGTGCGGATCACTTTTGTGAGGCTAGTGCCGTATCTACCCTTTTTGTTTTAATCTAAGCTAGCCCCCTTTCACAACGCGCGATAAGGAACTTCGTTCCAAAAAAAAACTCAATAGCCTGTAGTCTGTGGAACGTTAATAAAGTGAGCAAGAGAAATTATTTAAAACTCAACTATTGCTATGGGGTAAGGTAACTTTGTATTTGTTACGACAGCGCCATCTAGTTGAATCTAGAAGGCTTACAAACTTCGCATTGGACAATTGGAAACTAGATGGCGTTGCGGACAATGTATCATGTATATATACGCAGAAAAACTTGTGTTTATAAGACTTTATTGGCTTCCGAGCAGTAAACATCTAAATTATAAACGAATTATCGACTTAGCGGGGCGCGTGCATCTTCAGAGGATGCTTGATAGGATTAGGAGGCAGTTGGCCCTGCTTAGTTAAAGCCTACCGTACGGTCCCCCGTGTCCGACGCAATGTTATCAGGGGAGATCTCTACCTACTGGACCTGCGGGCGTGAGAGCAACGAGATCTTTACGAAGTGAAGCGGGGCAAGCCAATGTCGGACCTTCCGGGCAGGTCACAGGAGAGACGCGTAAGCCCTTATGTGCTTCCCCACCCCGCTCTTAGAATAAAAAGATCGTTCAGCTTCATCACCTGTGAAAAGGATCTGCGGGGGCTGGACAGCAATTTACCCCAGCTTTATACAGATGGGAGCAAGATAGAGGGAAAAGACGGAGCAGCCGTAACCGATTGGCAAGAGGGCATTCAGGTGGCAAAAACAAAGATCCTTCTAGCACCTTACTGTAGCATCTTCCAGGCTGAGCTCGTGGCGATCCTGAAGATGCTCAGGCTAAAGATCGAGAGGCCGACTCTAGGTCAGCCCTCGAACTAATTGCCGTTCCCGCCTCGTTGCACCCCATGGCCGCGATAAAAGACATCGATAGGGATCGGGGGACGGTTGGTCTGTGTATCCAACACAGACCAACCGTCGCACATCGGCTTAGGCGGTAATGAGAGGGCGGACGAGTTGGCGAAATAGACTAGTAAAGACTGGACCAAATACGACCACTTCCCCTTTTTCTTAAGCCAAACTCCTCATATGATCCGCTACTCTCGAGGAGTGGCAGGTGAGAGTGGATGAGGCCACTGCGGGAAGCGCGACCAAGACCTTTGTGCCCTCCGTGAAGGGCGAAAATATTTGGATCACGATACAACATAATGGAGATTTTCGCACATATCTCCACAAATTCAAGGTGGTTGACTGGCCTCTATGTATGGAGAATGAGACAGTAGAGCAAGTCTTGTTCGACTGCCCCAGATTCGCTGCTGCCCGCAGCGATTGTGAAATGAGGCTCGATGACTCCCTGTCTAGATCAACCCTCCATGTTTTAATGGAGGAGAACAGAACCCTTAGTACGAGTTTACAATTACGAAAACAGGGATGATGATGGGGTACAGTAAACGAAAAAACGAAGAGAAGACAGGAGTTATCACAGTCAGCGCAAGTGCTTATAAGCCAATGGATGGAGTTGAAGAAACCACCAAGTACGACCCACTGGAGCAGTTTTCCTCTACAAAAGATGGCCTTATAACGACATTCAATAGAGGTGATGACGGGGTACAGTAAACGAAATTCTATTTAGTCCGTCAGTTAGATGATCAAAAAATAATGGGCACGTATTTTTTCTCTGGACAATCAACCAAAAAATGACAAAATTATAGCGCGTCAAAGTTTGGAAGTAGGGGCTCGTGACGTCACTTTTAAGTGAAAATTGTACCAAAACGTGACGTCATGCGACTTTTCAAATCAATATATTATTATCTCTGCAATGTTTATATTATGTGAAAAAAGAAAAAATACGTGTCCAATACTTTTTGATAATATACCTGATAAACGAAGAAAAAAATAAGTCATCATCCCTACTATGATAGTTTTCGTGAGCTCGCACTACTAATAGTACTAAGGGTACTGATTTTATTGTTTTCCGTTTCATTACAAATAAACATTATCTATGTTCTATCATTAAATCATTTGCATCTTAAATTTTAAGAATATTTGGTTACTTTTCACCTAAATGGACATAGAATCATAATTTACAATTACGAAAACTATGAGTTTTCTTGTGCTCAAACTCGTACTAATGGTACAGATCCAGGGAGTGTAGAAATTCTATAGAACGGTAATGTTAAGTGTGGAACGCCAAAACGGGACATTATTAAATTATTTAATGGTGAAATATTTCTAGACTATACACTAATTTATTAACTTTATTAATAAACTTATTTTTTACAATCCAATTAATACATACATACATATTTAATTTATTTAAACAATTTTAACTGATTTTTTTATAATTTTAATTAAATTAAAACCAATAGAATAAGTATATATTGGTGTCGATTCTGGCATGATTCTCTAAACCTAAACTTTAATTTGGCAACAGTGCATCCCCGTCATTCTCTATACAGAGTGAAAGGGAGAGACTGATGTTAAATATAGTTTTAAGTTAAGAGAATCATGTCGGAATAGACACCACTGATTTCATCTTTTGACATTTTATCCCTCTTTTTAGCAATTGTATATAATATGTACATACATTTATATAATTTTAACGTTTACAATCAACATTTTATAATAGAACATAAGAAGTTTAAAATAAATAAAGAATTAGAAACCATGGCATAAATGAAATAAGAATGTCAATATTAATAGGAAATAAGGTACAGAGAAACAATCATGTAATTGAAATAAGGTTATACTATATACACTTTTACAATAAATATTTTATAATGATAATAGAATATATGAAAATTAAGATTAACAAAGAATTAGAAACCGAGGCATAAATGAAATAAGATTTTCAATATTGGTAGTGAATAAGGTACTAAGAAACAATGATCTAATAGAAATATGTAAACATAAGTTAACCTCTGCCTCAAAGACAGAAGAGTGAGTTTACAGCTTAATAATAAAAAAACATTGAATTGTCACTTAGTCACTTAGGCACGGTTAATAACCGGAAAGTTAAGTTAAAAATTACGATCGTAGTGTAGAGTTTATTTTGATAATCCAGACACAAAACATAATGTACTAGAGTCTATGCGGAAAGAGAATGGGCGTGGCGAAAAACGGAACTAACATTAAGATTTTTATTTGGCAATCAAACCCAGCAATCTGCAAAACGTCAAAGTTTTGTATTGATACGGATTTGTTTGTTGTTGTGATTTCTTGCGGTTTTTTGTATTTAATCATGTCTAAGAGGGGTAAAACCTTACAAATACGGTAGAAAAGCACTACAGCGCCCTCAAATCTAAATCCCATTCTCTTTCCGCACAGACTCTACTGAATAAATGTTGTCCTATGAACTAGCATCTTTAGCTCATACAAAACACGGAACAGAAATGTAGTACAGTGCAACCCTAATATAACATACCTCAATATAACGACTTAGCAAATCCTTGATTTAACAATTCTTTGTAATCCCCTTGAATTTTCCATAAGAGTTAATATAAAATATACCTTTACATTTTTGCTAACAACCTCTTTATAATAAATTTTCAACTATCGAAAAAAGTGTCATCATGTCAGCCGTACGACGCCCACTGCTGGGCATAGGCCTCCCTCAAGGATCTCCACACGGTCGGTCGGTCCCGCCATGATAAAAAAAAAACGACGGGTTGCACTCCGGGAGTGCAAGCAGAAGTGAAAACTTGAATATTAACGGTGTGCCATTTTTGATATTTTGGAATGGTTAGGGAATAATTTTGCACGAATTGCTGGAATTATCAGTATAAAAGTACTATCATGTATGTGGTAGAATACATTATTTATTTATTGCGCTATCGTAAACAAACATGACAATTTATATTACATTAAAAAAGTTTATCTCTCATAAATCAACTTACATTAATCACGTTTAGGGGCACTTTGCGACATCTATTGTAAAAAAATGCATTTTTTTCGCAATAAAGCTGCCACGTGGACTTCCTAGATAGAGAGTTATTATTATAATACGGTAAAATAAAATATTACTATGTTTCGTCCAATATATTGAAAGTCAACAACCTTTCCAATTATATTGTGTGTCATGGTGCGATCAGCCCACGTGTTTAACCTGACGCGAGTTTCACATTTTTACCAATTTTTACAAAAAAAAGTGTACAATGCCGCTAAAGAAGTTTTCACTTCAAAGTATAAATACCTCTAATTAACGAATTTTGCCAACCAAAAACCTCTAACGTTTCCATCAATATATGGCCCTTAATCCCATAGAACGTGATTCATGTCACGACAGGAAACTATTTTTTTTTTACCTCATTATAACAAATTTTATATCAACCTAACCTCAAAATTACAAATCTCAGTTGAACGAATTACCTAATATAACGAATATTTACTTGTTCCATTCCGTTCTGTTAGTTCGAGGTTGCACTGTATAAGTATTATAACACAAGTACAACTTATAATTAAAGATATACAGTTACAAATAAACGGAATGCATTCGAATAAAAATAAACTTGGATTAAAACGAAAATATAACCACGATATATAATAAAATAACAATATACATATATGTGTCTATGTATAATGGTCTCGAAACGCCGACCTTGAACAAAATACTATATTAAATATATAAAAATATAATTTTGTCGACAATTCAGCCTTTTTTGATTTCTAGATAGTAGTTCTGATAAAATTAAAAATCACAAACAATACTTAATCTATGGAAGAACATTATTATTATGCCAGTCAGATGGTATTTTTTTTGGAAAACAGATTGCCTTTGGAAATCTTGGCATGTAAAATTAATAAACAAAACATATTATATCGGTGTTATAAAGAATTTGTAATCTCAAAATCATAGTCGATGGGTAGTACAGCGGTAAAATCTACAATGTTCTAAAGGCTTTTATAATTCATGGCTACTTGACTCATGTCAAATTGTACTACACAAATGTTTATTTCTTATAATTTTTTGTATGAGGAACCTAAATACATCGATTTCACTTCATAAAATTAGGAGATGGTTAAAGTAATTTAATTTGAAAAATAGTTTTTTAGTCTATGCTTTTTAAACACTAAAAACGCTGTCCACCATGCTTGTGACGTCACACAATTTGTAAACAACTAAACGTCATTGTCGTATTACTGTGGTGCCTTTCGTCGGACTAAAAAATATCTAAAAACTCTTATATGTTGTAAAAAAGTTTCTGTTTATTGGTTTTGCTGACTAAATTTATGCTGGACGCCGGATTTGTGAAAGCAGTGTGTGCATGTGTAAGTGTGAATATTTCTGTAGGTAATTTAAACCACAACTTTTATGGAGTCTTTAACGATGTATTTCTACATTCTCGTATAATACAATCATGATAAATACTATATTTATCATGAAATCTATTAGAAATCATGGTTTTATAATATATATTCAGATAGGTTATTTCCTACGTGCTTGCGAGTGTTTGTTTACAAATGTTTTGACGTCATAGCATAGATAAATCTATAGACTAAAATGGCCGACAGCATTTGTGTATGTCCATAAATAAATTTACTTTTAAATTAAAGTTTTGGAGCCTCCTAGGTACAAAAAATAACAAGAATACTTTTTTTTCGGTCTAATAGAACAATTATTTTAACCATTTAAACATATTTCCAAAAAGTGTCAACTAGCCTATTCATTTGACACTGACTGTACATACCATGATCCGTATTTACACATTCATTCTTTGTCAGAAACACCTAAGTAATAATTTAATATAAATAATTTTTGTTTTCAATTTGTCTAGTTATTTTATACTACATAAAATGCATTCGATCATTTTTCTGTCACTTTCTTTGATTGTACTTTGCCTTTGCTGTAGAAGATGTCCAGGAATAAACCTGAAATAAGAAAATAAATAAATATTTTTTACACTTTCACCAATGCGTGTGATACAAAGCGATAGGGCAGCCCATAGTTCGTCTATATTTTAGTGGGTTTTTGTCACTTTCTAGGGATTTATTTTATTTATTTATTGAGGAGCTCGATGACGCGGGTGGTTAGCGCGTTCGACTGCGATTGTTGAAGTTAAGCAACTTTCGCAGTGGTCGGTCATTGGATGGGTGACCAAAAATCTTCTATCTCGAGTTCCTCCGTGCTCCGGAAGGCACGTTAAGCCGTTGGTCCCGGCTGCATCTGCAGTCGTTAGCACCCGCCAATCCACACTGGGCCCGCGTGGTGGATCACGGCTCAATCTCCCTATGCCATCCATAAGGAAGGCCTGTGCCCCCACAGTAGGGACATCAGTAGGCTGACGATGATGAGGGATTTATTAATTGCATGTGAGTGTCGCTCAGTCCATACTGTATGCTAGGGCTTGGACCAAATCATAGAACAATGCAAGTCCAGTCTACTTTAAAATGCGAGCTCTACTTACCTGGACACTTCAAAGAGCGCGCTTAAGAACATAAATTGTAAGTTTTGAGTCACCTGAGAAACCTAAAACTCGTAGAAATAAACATAGTGAGAATAGTCATAATCAAATTACATATTCTATAAACGGCGCACATTGTTATAAAACATAACTATATGAAAATATTAACTGTTTAAATGACGTAGGTCCTAACAGTACTATTTTACGATAGTCAAAATGAGGTCATAATAGGGTATTTGACAAGTTATAGAAAACGATTTCACGTTATTGACTAATGTTTATGGAGTCCGTAAAAAGTGAATATTCATCATTCTGTTGTGTATTTCAGTAAAAATAACCAAATTCAAAACTCCATTTTCAAGTTGCCGCGAAAACGTTTCTCTGGACAATATGGCGTCTTACTAGTGTGTAACGTCACACGACTGTTATTAAAACGTCAAACGATACAATGTAATGACACTTTAACCGGAAGTTTACTTGCGTATGACGTCACTTTAGGCTCCGCCAATCCCAAGCGTCTTGGGTCACGTGACAATAGATAAGAAAACTATTATCTTTTTCTTGGATTTTTAGTAAAATTATGAATATTTTTTTTTGTAAAAAAGTAAAATCCCCTGCCAATATTCATTCTAAACACAGATGCTAACAATCGGCACTTTAATTTTAATACTGTCAAATACCCTATTCGACAGTGACAAAAACGGTTATAATAAAATTTATCTTTAACTAACCCCCTGTGGTGCAACTCAACACTAAAAGTATTAAGCTTTCATAATTGCACGATTATCGAATTGACCTTAATTTAATTTTTGCGGAAATATAATTAATATCTTCGTCCGAATTCACTAGTAAATTTGCTCAGGTAACTCAAAATTCACGGTGCAAAGACATACACATGACAAAGAAGGTGTTTACTTACCAGAAAATACAAGTACTGCACCCAACCATTGCCTGCCAAGCAACACGTTACCGAAGAACACTACAGATGCGAGCACCGTGAAAAACTTCCTGGTGGTCGTTACCACAGAACACGGTAGAGGACCGAACTCCGATACCTACGGAATTAGACATTTATTAAGTTAAGAGCCCTTTTACAAAATAGCGCCGCTGCCGGACTGTACATTTGCACTAGTATATATTGCATTTTACGGGTGATATTTCGAGTTTTATAAAATAATTTTTGATTAACTAATTATAAAAATATATACATATTTCAGTAGTTCAATGATGGCAGATTAGTTTTATGAAAGTTATTGACAGTAATTCTATTTAATTCAATTCAAAATACGAGGTAAACCTGCATTATTTTTTGGGAAAACTCACGGAGGTTAGATGTTTTTTTTTTGATAATTAATGAGATGGAAAATCAAAATTCTAATACACGATGTTACAATAAAACATATTGATATATATAATATTGTTGATGACGTAGTAATTAATTTGATCTAATTTATTGAACATTATTGAGAGATTGAGGCGTTTGAAGTTGATTTGAAATTTGAAGTGGTGCATATTATGGTTTTTTCTGCAAGCTAGCTGCATTTGAACGATCAGTACAAAAAAAAGGAAAATAGTATTTGCAAATATTCTACATTTACTAACAACAGGAAGAATAAATCTACTGTTTATTTCTATTGGAAATAGTCAAAATCTAGATCTAAACAAGGCGCTCAAAAATTACGTTTTTTTGCAAAAAATGCGAAAGGGCTCTTAAGGCTATAACTACATATACTCTTTATCCAAAGAGACGTAGGGCATAGCGGATTTTCAGCTTGAATCCAATACATCAAGCCCGTCTGAGGAAATAACTTTTACCTTACAGAAAATCAAAGTAAAATAACACACCACTGGTGTGTTTTTTTACAAAAAAAAAAACAAAAGTACTTCATAGTTTTACGAATGAAAAGTGTTACCGTGGAATTTGTAATTTGATCTGGAACTATTTGTGTTCTTTATAAAAGCATCGAAGGCATTGTTTAGCTTTATAACACAGAATATACGCAATATTGTTATAATGAGTGCACATACAACGTGTTTGAATGTCCAATTGTGACTACAGCGAATTGTGGTCATGCACCACAATTTAAGCTGATTAATTTTGAGCCACGAGTGCCGTATCTTCCCCTTTTGTTTTAATCTAACCACACACGTCTATCCTTTCTGGCGATGTGATCAAAACATTCTAACAAGCATATGGCCCGCCTGATGGTAAGCGGCCACCATAGCCTATGTCGTTGCCTACCCTGACCCAATCGCCTAAACCCGTGGAATAAATTCTAATGCTACATCATCAGGAGGGCTATATGATTGTTTGTCGTCCTTTTAACATAAAAAACAAGGGTGCTTATGACCACACGACTGAAGTGAAACTTCTTTAGCTCCATCTTTATGCTATCATATATATTATATCATATATACCATCAGGTGAGCCGTCTGCTCGTATGCCCCCTGTAACATATAAAAAAAAAACAGCCAACGGCCTCGCCCGAACACACTTTTCGTAACGCGTAAAGCACTCGCTAGCTTTCCCCTAAAGTCAAGCGTGCGTAAAGAAGATTCCCTTCAAAAATCCAGGATTTCATGCTGAGCTGTTAAATGCAGAGTCCTTAGAATAATATCGCCTAGAATCCGCGAGTAAACGAAAACGAGAGCAGTACTGCGCCAAATTCGCTCTTCAAACGCACACAAGTATATGATTTTTAGTGTTACCATCACCAGTCATCTTATACCGAATAAAAAAAATAAAAACGTGCTGCTTCGTTTTGCTATGCGATGCCATAGTATAGCATACGTTATAACGGCAATAAAATAATTTCAAGGATAAAATTCTTTTCAACCATTAATCAATCGAATATGTCTTTCAATGCGTTCAGTATCCTTAGCACGAACCATTATCGAATTGGAATAGTTGATTTCTATATTGAGACGAGAAGTCAAGAAGTTATGTATGGATTATTTTTTGTTCTCGTATGCGTCCGTTGTCAAAACTTCTTACTCGTATCGTGATCAAATTCGATATTGGTTCGTACTAAGGGTCCAAACTTACATTTCTAATAATATAAAGCTGATTACCATGAGGAGCTCGATGCCGCAGGTTGTCAGCGCGTTCGGCTGCGATCGCTGAAGTGAAGCAACTTTCGCAGTGGTCGGTCATTGGATGGGTGACCAAAAATCTTCTACCTCGAGTTCCTCCGTGCTTCGGAAGGCACGTTAAGCCGTTAGTACCAGCTGCATCTACAGTCGTTAGCAACCGTCAATCCGCACTGGGCCGTGGCCGTGGCGTGGTGGGTCATGGCCCAATCTCCCTATTCCATCCATAGAGAAGGCTTGTGATACAACAATGGGGACATTAATAGGCTGATGATGATTACCATGAAGAAGATGAACAATTGTCCCAGTGCGCCGGTCAAAGCGAGACTGGCGAGATACACCAACACCTCAGGGTATGTATGCACGAAGCTGACGAAGCGGAATATTTCACCGGTCACCACGACACCAACCGAGATGATTATACTGGACCTGCGGACCAGGTGAAAATGGGCAATCCATATATCTATCTAGGAATCTTAAACTTAAACCGGCTTATTCAAAAATGCGGGCTTTGCAAATTAAATGGCTACTACCATGAATAAAGAAGGCACAGAGACAAAGCTCCTTGCAACGGCGCGTGTGTTAGCAACCAATAGATATGTTTATCTGCGCACGCGACAGTGTTGCCATTAAGTTTGATAGAGTTGCCGTATTCGATACATCAGATTGCTGTATTTTTAAATAAAAATCATAATATTGCCGTATTACTAAATTTTATTTATTAAAATTTATAGGTAAAAAATTAACCTACTCATTAATATCATCGCCATACAAATTTCTAATGCTGTCTGCTGTTTAAACTAAACCATATTTGTCCTGGTTTTTAATTTTCACACACGGGATGGCTGAAATGTATGGGATAGGATGTACAACATTTACATGAATTCATGTTGTTTACATGATTTGGCTTGCTTCGCCAATAAGAGTTCCATTTACAGTTTCAGTAACTAATTTAGTTATGGATGCCTTCCCAGTAAGGATACATTCTCCGTGCTAGGGATGTGCCTAAACTACAATTTTATACGATGTTTTGTTATCCTTTTAGATTGATACAAAACAGAACTGGATTGCCGCATATTATTATACGGCAATGACAAACCTGCCGTATGCCGTATAATATGAAATTATCAGCTCAAATTGCCGTATATTACGGTAATTTTCGTATCAATGGCAACGCTGGCACGGGACAGTCGCTAGTGCTAACTGAAACATGCGCATTTATACAAAACTTCTTCTCTGTGTCTTTTTAACTTATGTGTGTTCTATACATACACACAGGTGTCAAGGATCTAGCATGCATAAAGAAGTAAAACATTACTAAAGAAAATTATTGAATGTGAAATTTTCTAAGAATATAAATCAAAAAGATTATTGTTTAAAATAAAAATATTTATATTACGATACAATAGTAATCCTTTGTGTGAAAATAGTGAAAAATAAATCCATGACAATAATCAATATCAGTATATCTTATCAAAATGTCCCTCGAAGCCCAGATAGTGAAATTCGGTGGCTAACACATCATATACTATGCAAAATACAAAAACAGTGTAAGTATTATATTTAAACACTATGCTCTATATTGCCCATTCAACTTAGCAGAAATTAACCATGTGGAACCCTGGAAACCTTACTCACCAACAATACAACACCACCAAAAAGGTAGGGTTATTTTAACGGTGATGTTTTGTAAGTTGGAGGTTTCTTACCAATAATGAGTGCTTAACAATTTTTCCAAGAATCAAAGAACACCATAGTAATCTTATCACTACTAGCCTCATAATACAGAACCAAACATACAAAATTAAATATATTCGCATTGCATAGCACTATTTAAATGCATCACATTTTTAATATTTATAAGAGCCATTGCATAGCACAGTACCTTTAAAATAATACAGATACAAAAAATATTTTTATCACTATAATGAAATATCGTATGAGCTTAAAACTTACAGAGGAAACTTGTTGTGTTCATATAGTACAGAGAACTTTAGTAAATAGTTTACCTCAATATACGAAATACAATACTGAGAAACCAAATTACAAATATAACATAAGAATTCATATTTTATTTAAACTTAAAACTGCTTGATGATGCTCGACTTTTATTTATTAAGTAATTTTTACTGCCTTTCGCATAGCTACTCACTATAAAAATTTGTTAAGTTCATGTTTAAGAATAAGCTATTGCCCAATTGCAAAGTTTAATAGAAACATTGGCCGATATGATTATTTTAAATAAATCTATATGGTTATTAATAATAAACCTATTCAACTAATAAAATTCTCATACACTCATGTCATTTATCTCTTTTGAGACTCGCAAACTTTCTAAAATGCAGTTGTAGAGTAAAAATAGATAAAAAATCTCTTTAATATAGTTATTTTAGATGTGTAGTCACCTCAACACCATTTAGCAATGATTGGGTTAAAGTAATCCAGAAGTAATAGAGATGGTTTGCCAGTCAACTTATAACAATACAAATAGTTATTCAATGCATACTTACCAAAGGTTTGTATTCAGCATCATTGAATAAGCAGTGGGAGACGATTCACTTTTGATGCGTTCCTAAAAATAATATAAATAAGTGACATAGAAATCAGGTGTTTTATATAATAACTATTTTAACTTGTGGAATCAAATGTGCAAATTACCTGAACAGCACCAGTGAGGCCATCCATTGTTAGAGAAAGAAGAACCAGCAGTTCTCCAATCCCAAATCCTTGTATGTCATCAGTAGAGGCAACCTTCTTGACTTGATCTTTATACATAAACATGACCACCCCAATAACAATCAGAAGTACAAACAGATATTTCCTGAGAGGATACGATTTTCTGCCAAGTAACACTCCCAATACCATGACAGGTATTGGCTTGGCCGCTTTACCCACCACCTGAAAAGGAATAAAATCTCATTGTTTTTCTTATCAATTACTCTACATTTCTAGTTTATTATTTTTATCTTTTTGATTCAATAAGTGTCTGGATATTTGAAATTATAAGGCGACCAGTGATCAAAAGGCTGGCAGCTATGTCGGTCAATGGATTAGCCTTGCTATCCAACGAAGAAATGCTGCCAGCCTATTGGGCACCATTCCTGACAGCGGCACTGGGGGTGATACATTTTTTATTTTGTAAATTGTATATTATTTAGGTACTTAGTTATTTCTGGTTTTTGCGTTTTTAGACATTAAGTAGTTTTAAGCTTTTGCAATGTTAAATATTTCTATGTAAATATAAATAAATTATTCATGAATGAGACACATTATTAGCTGCTGGGAGTATTCCTATAAACATACCTGTGTAGGGTAGTTGATCCATTGTAAGGCCAGATTCGAGCTTACCATACCCAACAGGTAAGTGAGAGCTGATGAAAAATAATAGATCTTTTTTGTGTTATCCACTTCATGGTGCCATGACAGCTGAAATAATAAAGAACTACTTATTAGTGAACAAATTTTGGTAAATACTCTTTGTTTGAATGTTACCAAAAATAAGAGGGACCAGAATATCATTAATTGAATTTCTTACAGACACTATGGTTCACAGTATGCTTTAAATCCCCTGTTCCATATATCCCTACTGATATATCTCCACTAGTAGGGATACTTAAAGAGTATTTTTTCCATTTATTGCTACCAGTTGGGATGTATAGAATTTTCTATTCAACGTATCCCTACTGATCCGCGCTGGTATACCAGTAGGGATTCGTTTTTCTTGAATAACTATGTTTCTTGAATAGTTTTGTAAAAGAGAGAAAACAAAGTGGCTAAACGATTTTAATATAAACAAACCCATACTTAATTATCTACTGTTAAAAACATAACTTTATTTGAGTCAACAAAAAAATTAAAATTATACTTCCTTAAATACAAAAACTTGTTGAGCCATATAGTATAGTAATATTCACAGTATTCATTGTGTAGGACAAAAAGGTAACTTACCATTAGAATTTGAGCGAAGATATAGTTCACAACACATTGTACTAACACGAGAGATAGAGTGCAGGTAAACCTATCATTATCACCGTATTTACCACGCGTAATTTTTTCTTGTAACATACCAAATATAAAATAACAAAAGAATATCCCACTGGCATATAGAATGAAACGAAATTCACTCCTAGCTTTATGCATTTTGTCGACTTTCTATAAGAATGTTGAGCGATTAACAAAACTTACACACGGTGGCAAGTGTGATTTCATTTATGAACCATAATGACACGTACGAGTTTATCATTCAAAAATGTTGTCCAAGGGTTAATACGTCCAACAAATGCCTGACTAACACGTAAGCTTCAGTAGTACACAAACTTACAGACTATCACCAACGAACAGTTTGTTGACCGCCAGCCGCTGCGCTGACCGAACATATTTTTTTAAATTTCTTTACGCATTCTGGGAAGGCAAAGAGTACTGTGCCCATATATCCAAGTCTTAAGTTTATTATTTGTAACTTCTTCTTTCTTAAAGCCGAAGCAAAGTCTTCTTTCAAGAATCTTGTCTTTCCTTTAATCTTCTTTCTAGATCAAAAGTACTTGTACTTTCTTGTTGGTGTTTTTTTATTATTATTTTCTAATTAGTAGTCTTCTTTTGTGTGTTCAGTAAGGCCGAAGCCACATCGTTTGTTCCTACCGAACAAAATGTCGACCACACAGATAACATTCATTTGTTCAGAGATACTTAGATTTCAAGAAAAACGAAGTTTTAATTTTATATTTAGTATTAAATTCTGAACAAAGACTAGTTGATCTTGTTCGTATAAAGGGATGTTCGCAATATGATCTACAGAAACTATTTCGTCTAATTTGATTATAAAAACCAAACAGATAATATAATTATCTTAACAATGCTCTGTGCTGCACCACAGCAACCAAAAATCACGTCTCAAAAACAAAAAAACGCACACAAGCTAAAAGAAATTGTGTAACTATGCAATTGTTCGAGTGTACACAAACTTGTAAGTCTGTGACACAAACACAAAAGTTAGGGATGGGACATTAAAAGAATGAACGATATTTAAATAAACAGTTCTTGATGCAGGAAAAAAATGTTTATAATGAAATCAAGAAGTTTCATTTATAAAATAAAATATCTTTAAAAACCAATAATAATATGTGTATTATATTCATAATTTTCGAGAGTACTGATTACGAATACGACAATAATTTTGTGATTCAAGATGGCGAATTTTTTTTTTTAATCGACTACGGATGGTAACGTTTTTCGAGTGTATGTATGTATAATAAATAATTATAATAATAAAAAAAATATTCAGAATTAATTTTATATATAAGTGACTTAGATCTAAAAAAAACACAAAAGGTAAAGGAAAATCCATAAGTGTGTGTGTATCTCCGTTTCTTTGGCATACCCTACAGCTTGAATGACTTAACAAGCGAGGTGTCAATTGATTTGTCGTGATTGTGTAAGTAAAACTTTTTCATTACTGAAGATCGTGATTACTTGATGGAGTCCATCAGGTGGTCACGATCTCCAGGAGTGAATGATTTGCCTCCATCTGTTGCGATCTCTGGCAGCTCTCACTACGTCGCAAAAAGTTTGTTGGTGCGATCCCTCCTTAATTTGATCTCATCAACTTGTGGGGATCTGCCTCAATTCCTTTTGCCTTGTACTCAATGACAACAAGTTTTTCCAGATTATCATTGCCACGCCAAACGATGTGAACAAAATATGGAAGGATCAGCCGAAGACACGCTGATGACAATCGGTCGGTTATTTTTAGTTGGTTAAGAATTGATGCATTAGTGTGCTTGGCAGTCCATGGTATTGACAGACATTTACCTCCAGTACCACATCCACATCAATGCATCAATTCTTTTCCACTCTCTTGCCAATATGGTCCATGTATCCGCGCTCAATAGAAATATTGGAAACACCAGAGCTCTGACCACGTAACTAAAACTGGGTTTATTCAGATATAAAAAAAGTCTTTAAAACCCTTCACTTTGATACAAAATGAAACTACTCGAAAAAATATCAGAATTATGATTATTAAATTTAATAAATTTGAAAAATGATAATAGTCAGCAGAATTATGACTAATAATTTTAATTAATTAAATCATAATTGTGACGACGCAGCCTGGAAAGGATTCGAAACGCCAAGAAACAAACAAATCAGTGCATCTATACCGTTGAAACTTGTTTTATATAATGAGTGGTGTGCGTGAAAAATGAAGAAACAAATAGAATTAATTTAAATAGATCAGAAAACTCGCCAGCTTAAAATATAATTTTGAATAAATAGAAATACAAAAAAAATCAAATACAGTAGTCTAGAATTCTGTTTAGTAAGGATTAAAGCTATTCCAACAGTCTAGACCGATTAGATAATCTCGAAAAAATTATTTTTTCCCAATAATTGGTCCCGACTGTTCAAGTAACTTTGTTCTTTACTTGACTAGATTCTAGACTATTAACCTTGGTTTGTTTTTCAAATAAAGTTAATATGAATATTTATCGAATTTATTGTTTTAAGTGGAGCTGTTTACAAATACTAAAGTTATCTTGAGATTCGAGATTATTATTAATGTTTCAGATTTTGGGACTATGCAGTCCTAATGGCACTTTAGTCACTGCAACTGAAAATATCTATTCTGTGACTCGCCATCACTTTAAAGTACTTAACTGTTTTAGTCAGACTGCGCTCCACGGAGCTTCAAGTTTCAAGAGGTTTAATTTCCTCTAGTCGTATTGTATGTCGTTCTAGATGAATAGGTGTACGTTTGTGGACGACAATCAAATTCGTTACTGTATATAAAAGAAACTGTGCTTAAAAACTCTAAGAAGTAAAAATAATAAATTAAGGCGAAAACAACTTAATTTTTCTAAATTTTTTAATACAAATCTTAGTAATATATTTTTTTTATCTCCTGGACTATAAAAACAAATCGCATTTATAACACCCATGAACAAACGTTCGTGAGTATATAGTAATCGTAAATAATTATATTTATTATTATTAATTATTTTATTTAAAAAAAAGTTATACTTCAACTATACCAATTACCGAGGTTATAAAAACTGCTTGATGTGGGCAGCTGACCTGATAACTAACTATTTAAATTGATTGCTTTTTTATACCCATACGCTGTTTACATTATAATCTATTGTCCATAAACAAACAAACAAACAAAATGAAAAGTAGTAAGTTCATTATGGTGTCGATTTTGGCATAATTCTCTAAAGCTTAAATTATTTACAATAGTGTATCCTTGTCATACTCTATACAGATTTTGTTTGGTTAAGTTGTAGATCGTGAATGATTTAATGTTTGTTTTTATATAAAATCTATCCATGTATATTTGTTTTATCAACTTGCTATTTATATCTGCAGATGCACTTAATTAAATCTGTATGAACCTTTTCCAGTAATAAAAAACAATTCATTCATTTCATTCACTATTTATTACATCACTATATATTCTAACTATTATTTTTGTCATTCATTCGTCTTTCGGCGCCTTTTCTTTTAATTGAATTTTATACTAGAATACTAACTTTTTAGTAATTAAAAATACTTGCATATGATAGGAAACACCATGTTTCAGTGGGAATGTGGCACATCGGTTTTTGCATAAAAAAATCAGTATAATTTTCCATTTTTGTGGGAGCTCCGACTCATGACACGAAACGATTAAAAATGGTAGAGAGCAGTGTTTCCACTTTAATGATTTCCTTTCCCCATGCCTCAATTCAGATTTCCCCTTCTTAAGACATTTTCCCCTCAAAAATTATTCTGCTGTAGTTTTTAGATTTGGCACTAGTGTAGTAACTAAAGAAGAAAAAAGGTCTTAATCTATCTTATTCTGTAACAGATAAATAAAATGTATAAAATCTGCACGTGTTGACACAGTTTCTTTTATACGGCAATACTCTAGTCCACGGTATAGTCCATAAAAATTTTGTTCCGTGCCGCATTATTTTAGGCTAAGCTTTACCCATAATTTCCCGCAGTTTCCCTTTCTTTTTCTTTCATATCTTTCCCCTTTTTCTTCCCCTCTGGACCCTAATTTCCCCTTAAAAGGGGAATTTCCCCTCATTGTGGAAACACTGGTAGAGAGGCCGCACGTGAACTATTTTTATATAACGCACATGATTAGAGTGGCCACATACTTTGGCAGAGGGGTTCGCCAATATACTTTGGGCCATGGACGAAAGATTTCGCTACGGAATATTTCGGAACCGATGGGTTTTATTAACTTAATAAATTGATAAGTAATTTATATTATATTTATTTAGAATATCTTAACATTGAGGACAGCAGCAAATATAATCAATATGTTTATTTTATTTATACAAAGTAAGAAACTTCGGTTGATAAATTTATTCCTTAAAACGAAACGTAAAGTAATAGTAATGTCATTTTTAGAGAGTTATGAAAATGGACTCTACGGTTCTAACGATAAGATATACATCATCAAACTTTAAGTGGCCTTCAAAATGTAGATTAAAACATAGTTATTATTATTACACATACTTAACTTCTACGAAAGAAGGTTACTAAGTTGATTCATTCATAAATAAAGTTGATTGTATTATGTTATTACGTTATCTGTTTTGGGAATTCTGAATATTGTGTTTTTAGTTAGCAGTGTGTGATAACGCATTTGTATCGGAACTTGTCGTGCTTGTAAACTTCAAAGTTTGAAACTAAGTTATTTGTTTGCTAAAATGTTACCCAATGATTAACTTTGTTTGTTTTGATTCAATCATGATTGTGTTAACTAGATAATTTAGTTGAATCTCGGTCTCCGCTTCATTTGTTGGATTGGATTGTTTAAGTTATCGAGGTTAAGTTGTACACAGCGGTGACATAATAGCGCGAATTTCAACTGAGATGGTGGTTTATATTGTACTATGACTCATGGTTACACACCAGACCGCATCGGTGAGTATGATTTGATAGGGACAAAATATCTTTTTTAATTTGCTTAATGTGTTCACTTATTAAATAGATTTGTGAGGTTTTAATGGGGTCAATGTCGGCGAAACTATTAAAAGTTCAGTGTTGTTGGACCCGACGTGAGCGAGTAGCGGCCCCACTCAAAACTGGATGAAAAGCGACGCAAACGGCAAAGAAAGTGAAAGCGTAAATTTTAATAAAACTTAAAAGTTATAGGCGTCTCTGACCGCAACCACTTCTACATAAAAGACCTTTTACGCACATGATTTCAGCGTGGTGAAATCCAAGTCAATATTTAACTTGACGACGGCAAGCACGTAGCCGAAAACGCCTAGGACCTACATTTATTAGCCGTTTGTTCCTTCGCCCGTTCATCACATATTCATATTAGAGATTGTGCAGTCGCATGCAAATTTCCGTTTGCGATGGCCACTCGAGAATTGTAATAACTCTGTAACAATTGTCTTTCCAACTTAATCTTCAGTTCTACGTATCCAACATGTATCTATTTCAGGGATGCGCACCGGTAAAAAACCCCAATAAAACGTCGACAAATTACTTAATATTAAAACTCTACTTCAAGCTCTAGCTGTACCAGTCGTTTCGTCTATTTATTTACAAGTGACGATCTTGTGTTACGCCCATTTCGCATGCATCCATCAGAATGTCGTAATAAATGTGAGATACGGTATAACAGTTTTTTAAATAAGCTAAAACATGGTGATTAGCGGGCAACATAGCGGCCTACTCGCGAACACGCGTCTCTATAGATCGGAGCCCAAGAACGAATTTTGACAGCTCCGTAATCGTATCGCATCTTCAAAGTTTGTATAAAAACCAAGCAGCGCCCCTCTCGGAGGTAAGAACAAACTGGCGCCTTCCACACAAAAATTTACGATGACGATACAATTACAGAGATGTCAAAGTTCGTGATTGGGCCTGAGGGTTGCGTCGACGCCCGGTCAAGCCTGTGTGCGAAATATATGAAGTGCCTCTGTTTTTTACCCAATGAGTTTAATATATTGTGGTGAAATGAAAATAATTTCTATAAAAAATTGGCGCTGTTCATTCAGCTGGCTCCGCTATAGCCTTGGCGCCTGTGTGCCCCGTATACTTCGAACAAAAGGGCGGCGTGGCCCCGGTAGAGATGCGTGTTGCCTACACAGACGCAGCCACCAATCGAAGCCACTAGTGGCTTAGTGGTGGCTGCGTCTAGTGGCTTCATTAAGCCAATGTGAGAAGAGCTTAGCTTTGGTTTTTTCCGGGAAAAGATTCATAGTTAAAAGTAACGAAAGATACGCCACTGCGTATTAATGATGTATCGTCGTCTTTCTACTAATACTACCTTGACTTTTAATTTAGTCAAATAACTCTAACAATTTTGGAATTGTGCTCACAATGGTTAGTTTGTAGAGTATATGGGCCGTCGACTGTTTCATTGCACTTTTCGTATTTCGAAAATCCAATCGCGGTCGCAGAAAAACTAATAAAATGCATCCACGTTTAATGGTGTTTTTTTCTGTCACCGAAACACGTTTGATTGTAAAATTGTAATGTAAACAACTCACTACGGGCTCCACGTAAGGCGGTCGAACTCATCTTCTCTCTGTCTTACTAACATTCGTTCGTATTCGTAATATATCTCTCTTACTAAGACGGGAAATTGCCACGTGGTAGCGTGTGGTTGTTAAAATTGAAATTGGGTGTCTACGTGGATTTTTAATGAGCTCATCCTTGCAGACAAACCATGAAAAGTGCTTCATTAAGCCACTAGACGACGATAATAGTGAACGCGATTAGTGGCTCAATGTGGCCTTGCTCTAATAGTTTTATCTGGCTACAGTCTTTAGTATTTTACAGGATTATTACACGCTTATGTAAGAATTTTCACCCACTATAAAATATGCCTCACAGAAACGAGTTAGTGACTTTCTTTATCACACTACTGACGTACGAAAAAAGACGAAGGCAAATGCGTCTACGAAAAAGCCAAAGTGAGAAAAGTTTATCTTTGTTTTTTTCCGGGAATACAGTAATAGTTGCAAGTAACGAAAGATAGGCCACTATGTATTACCCTTCCAGATTGGTTCGCCCGTCCAGGAAAACGTGCTACTTACATGCGTAAATATCCGATACATTTCTATAGTTGAAAGATACGCACAAAAACGCGTTAGTGGCTCTATTTCAAGTAATAGCAATTCTATCAGTTTGTTTATCTAAAAGTATAAATGCGGCCGGGGGGAGAATGCCGCAGCTTACGGAAGAAGAAAATACTTAAATGAAATATTAATAGTTGGTAGTTTTTTTTTCTGTATATCTGCCATCAGTCTCCATGTAGAATTGTAGACTATAATCAGATTGATTGGAAGAATTTTGTGGATTAGTGAGAACTTCCCATCAGGAGCATCCCTCATCACTCATTTAAGAACCTGGACTCCAGTCTTTGCATATCACATAACATCTTTGGATACAAATCATTGGTAAATGGTAGTCATTGCCCAAGTAACAACATGAATACAATCGGCCAATGTGAGAAGAGCTTAGCTTTGGTTTTTTCCGGGAAAAGATTCATAGTTAAAAGTAACGAAAGATACGCCACTGCGTATTAATGATGTATCGTCGTCTTTCTACTAATACTACCTTGACTTTTAATTTAGTCAAATAACTCTAACAATTTTGGAATTGTGCTCACAATGGTTAGTTTGTAGAGTATATGGGCCGTCGACTGTTTCATTGCACTTTTCGTATTTCGAAAATCTAATCGCGGTCGCAGAAAAACTAATAAAATGCATCCACGTTTAATGGTGTTTTTTTCTGTCACCGAAACACGTTTGATTGTAAAATTGTAATGTAAACAACTCACTACGGGCTCCACGTAAGGCGGTCGAACTCATCTTCTCTCTGTCTTACTAACATTCGTTCGTATTCGTAATATATCTCTCTTACTAAGACGGGAAATTGCCACGTGGTAGCGTGTGGTTGTTAAAATTGAAATTGGGTGTCTACGTGGATTTTTAGTGAGCTTGTCCTTGCAGACAAACCATGAAAAGAGCATAAAAGATTATTGTGCCTGATTACACCTACCTGAAATGTCCTACTGACAAAACCTTTAATAGTTCGAATTTTACACCTATATCATCATCATTAGCCTGTTAATGTCTTAACTGCTGCCACTATTACACCTTTAGTTCCCATTTGTTTTATTTCTGTAACTATATCGATGAGTTAGAAGTGGTAGGTAAGGTTACCAGTACCCATAGCACGAACCAAAATCGAATTCGTAACGTTTGCGAGTCCGAAATGTCAATGTCAAATCTGTACTGATTTTTGGTTCTCGTTACGTACTTTGTGCCGCTGCTGTTCAAGTTTCCATACAAAATTTGACAAGTTACGAATTCGATAATGGTTCGTGTTAAGGGAACAGGGTAAGTGATTGAATCACTTTTAAGGGTTTCCTACTACACTTGTCTATTGGTAGACATTTTACTATTTAAATTACCAGCTGGGAATTTTATCTATAATGTCATCCGGCGTCGAAACCGAATTACGGATAAATTAATAAAATAATATCGTAGAAAACAAAATTAAAAACACGTAAAAATTACGGGCACATCATAATTGAACAACGTCGATTATAGCGAAGCTGTACACGGTATTAAAGCAAAGCATGACCTTGCAATGTGAGTGAGAAATAATAAAGAAATAAAATTTTGCGCAGTTGAGGTTTAAACCAAACTACTGCAGGTATGAAGGCTGACCTTATTAAATTGTAAATGTGACTGATAAACACGTCCCGCCCATCAGATAAGATACCCTTATCCACGCCACGGTAAAAAGCCAGGATATGATAATATTGCATTCGGTTTAAGAAACTTCATAACGAATGGTAACTAGAGTTTCGCATGTTGCCTTGTCTATTGTTGGCTAGCGGTCAACCGCGATTACGTCTGCGTCAACTTTAGTTCCGCGCAACTTGCTTATTATTTTTGTTGAAATCTTTTACAAAGACATAACTTAGAATGATGGATGAGATCGGGAAAGTTGTTCTCAAGATATTTATATTAGAGATATTAAATCAAATTTACGAAAAAGAAAAAAACGTTGAAATAAATGCAAAGTTAAAAGAAACAAAATTACTTCGTAACATTTAAATTCACTTTAATAATTTAATATTCAGAGTTGTGTAACATAGATCACAAGCACGATTCCTTTGCATTCACAAACAAGGGCAGGACTATAGATTAACAAGCTTGAACAACCAAACAATGTCTTGTTTCGGATCGAAAACCTATGAGAGCCAGCTCAAACTTACGAATTTATTAATCGATCAATAGTTTCAGCGTGTTAAGAATTAGTACGGAGCTCCTTCATTAGGTGTATCCAGTTAGAATTTCTCCCATTTCATTGATTATTTACAACTAGCAAACCAGTGAACCAAATGTTCACCAAAAAAAAAAGTATTTAATTAATTGAGAACTTCGGAGATTTTGTGTGGTTTCGTTTGAAATAGAAATCACGTGATTTCTCGAAAACCGGAAGTGCTACGTTACTCACGTCCGGTGTGTAGTCTTATCAGACTATTCTCAACTTATAACTTAAACATTCTCTTTATCTATCTCTTACGGTTTGGCCGCTGAAACAGCACCACGGAGGGACGGACGGACTTGTCTAATAGATAAGAGATAGATTCTTCTGTCATAAACCTTCCGATATTATGTCTGTGAACTGAATTTGGTAACACTTACGTTTTATTATTGTATTAACTGAGCGGTAGGGATTTTCCGCTCGAATTGTAGCGCCCGTCGGTGAATAAGTTTCCAGGGGTAGGAGATTGGGTCAGGGTAGATAACTCCGCGAGTGATATTTTTAGGGTGTATTCCGTAATATAAACCAGTATACTGGCCAGTGCTAAGGACGTCATGAATCGACGCTATACCGGTGAATTGTTCCGAAATATACAGGCCAGTGCACTGACGTCATAAATCGACGAAATATTAAAAATAGTGCGAATAAAGAAGATTTTTTATTCACCTCTTTAATTAAAAGGAATTCTTTTTGTTAGGATGCCGATATTGTTCTTTAAATAAAAAAGAAATAAAATTCGAATGCATCTCACGCACGCTCGGTCATACGTCATTCATTTTCTCGGTAAAAATATGGTAGCATACCAGCACAATATGGCGTCGGATTCGTGGCGTCATAACCACTGGCCAGTATACTGATGTGTATTTCGGAATACGCCCTTAGTATCGCAAGCGTCTCTCCATAAGCTATGGTGGCGGCTTACCATCAGGCGGGCCCATATGCTTTTCTGCCACTCTTTTAACATAAATAACTAGGACACTAAGAAAGCCCCACAAAATAGCTACGTTGCTACGAATATCCACACACATGGTACAGTACAGTTCTTGAATTCAGTATACGTGTAATTTTCGAAAGCTTTGCGATGAGTTTCCTATGGAATGGCCTTCCGCATGTTATTGGAACACAATACGGATCTTATCCTTGTAACTAGACTCTCTGTCTATAATAGAAATGTTAGTCTATAAACCTCAGCTCTTAGAGCGTTTGCATCGGAAGCTGCGGTGCGATGATAAAATGATATACTGAGAAAATTGTGAAAACATACACTATGATAAAAATCTCAAGCAATTAAATGGAAATTATTAGATGAGAGTTAAAAAACATCAAAAGCAGCAACATGAAACTTTTTTTATACTTTTGACTGATTTTTGATATTAATGAATACTTTTATTAATTTGATTTATTACTGAATGAAGCAAAAACATTTTATAAATTAAACATTTCCCATCCTTTCAAATGTTATACAAAATAAAAGTGATATTATTAGCAAATAACCCATTATTTTAATACTAAATAAAGTGTAAGCGGAATTCAGTCGCGAAGATAGAGGATACGTTAGAAAAATGTGTCACTTCTGCCATTTCATCTTGCAGGTCGGATCTCAATCCCCTACCCCGCACAGTGGTCTGAAAATCGAGCTCCATACTCATAGAAATTTAATGTCTGAAATATATATATAAAAAAAAGGATTGGATTTAGTATAAAGGTTATGAGTAAAAAAATATTTTGTTTTTTTTTGTATGGATGAAAACACTTTAAAGTGCATTTTTTTAAAATTGAATGGAACTGAAAAGCTGGTACTCATATGAGCTATTGCACTTTCACGGCGAACAAGATGACGTATAATATTTGTGCCTTTCAATGCCGCTTTGCGTGTAGGCAACATTCGAAATGCTGAATTTTCAGTATATGATTTTTCGGGGCCCAGTGGAGTCCGGTAGAGATACTCACCAACAAAAACACAGCACCACCAAATGGTGGCGTTATTTTACTAAGGACGCTCCAATTTGAGATAACATCCATTAAACCCCAATGCACTTGAGCATCAGAAAGGCAATTTAAAAAAATACCACAGTTTTGGTGAAAAATGAGCTGCCTAAACTCTCTATCTCTTTTTCACTTCTTCTTCTTCTTTTTGACGACTTCCGTGGCTGAGTGGTTTGTTCGCCGCGTTTCATGGTGTCGCCGACTCGAGAGGTCCAGGGTTCGAATCCCGGTGGGGGCAGATGTTTGTGTGATGAATACGAGCATTTGTACTCCAGTCATGGATGTTTAATATGTATTTCAATGTAAATATACTTATATATGTACTGTATATGTATTCTCTCCGTTACCCTAGCATCCCATAACACAAGCCTTATAGTGCTTACTTTGGGGCTAGGCTAATTGGTGTGAGTGTGGGAAATATTTATTTATTTTGTTTACTTTAAACAGGTATTTCTTGATTTTTTAAACATACATGATTATTTACATCAAACAAGTTAGTTCCTATTTTTTTGTCGATTTGTTTGAAATACCGTAATTTGAAAAGCCTCCAAAGAAATATTATTAAAATAAACATCATGCTGGCATTTCTTAACCCTGTATCCCGCATTATCATGGAAACAGTTAACATAAAATTGTTTCTTTACATTCGTATTATAAATGTAAGATTGTGTGTTCAAAAAAAAGGTTAAGTGCAAAATATTCCACAGAATTGAAAAACATTCGTGACTATAGTAATTGTATATTGAAAACATGAATAATGTAACTGTTTCATACATATATCATGCAAGTAATAGCTAAAACAAGCCAATCTGCCACTGTGTCGGCTTCAGGGAATAGCTGGCTAATAGCGCCGAGCTAAGTTTAAATTGGTTACCTAGTTGTTTGAACGTTCGCGTCGCATTCAATTTCTTGTTACGGAACGAAAACGTCAGCTTTTTGTGTTACATTCAAAATTTCATGAATTGCAGACAAAAATGTTACGAAATCAGTTTACTTTACCGTTTTTTTTTTGTTGAAAAGAGCTCGTTATTTGTTCCTAAATTATTTCAATAAATGTGTTATTTCAAAAAGGAGTTATAACGAATTTACTTCTAAAATTGCAGGACAATAGCCAAAATGGAAGACAGTCTCCCCAATAGTAAACGATATTTTTTATGTAAGTGCGTAATTATACCAATACCCACACGCGGGGCTAGGTCTATTAAAAAAACTTTTTTAAAATTATAAGTAGATTTTCTTGTCAGTCCTATAAAGAATTGAAAATTGGAAATATCGACTTTCATCATCCACCTACCTACGAACATGTCTAGGTATTGTTATACGTATACATCCTTGGCATATTGTGACAACGCTATGAATAAAATACAGAATAGGTAACTATATAACAGTTGTTGGGTGAAACCTTGGGAACGCCTGAGGTTGCTGAATTTATTATAACTTGACCTCGGTATATCTGAACACCCATATATAAAACAACGCCTACATGAAGTATATATAGCCTTTTGGCAAGCACAACAGAACCAAGGACTATAAATAACGCAGGAGGTTTTAAGATATTTTTATGTGTGAAGTATTCATTTATTAATATGTTGCATTAACCTATTATTTTTGTTTCAGGTAGAAGACATGTACTAAGAAAACTCAAAAATGACAGATAACACTAAAAAACGTACCAGTAGTTTTCGCAAAATATTTCCAAATTTATTTTTTTCTCACAAGTCCAAAGATAAATCAACTTCAAAAGAGTCTTCTACAGTGTTAAGAGATGGTACCAGCAATTCTATTCCTAACCAATACCACAATCCTCAATCAGTTTTCGCAAAATCTGTCAAAGGTTCAAGTAATGACGAGAATATTTATGAAAATTTGGCAGTAAATCATCAAGTACATATTGACTTAGAACAACGGCATAATGTCCCAAGTAATCATTCTTCAAGTAGTACCTTGGTATCAGAGAGCGTAAAAAACAAGTCTGTACATTCAAATGAGGAAGCAGAAACAAAAAATCACAAGAACTATATTCACCCCGATTATGCGGCAAGGCCTCAAGTACCGTTGAAGCCTAAAGAGGATTCTTTGAATATATCAACAGCTACCGTCACTACAAGTTACCTTCAACATTCACAATACCCAGATGTATACTATCATTCTCTAGATAAATTAAATGATAAAATATCACCCCTAGATGAAATTGACATTTATCAAGCCTCAAAATCACAGGTTGATCCGTCACCTGTTGGTGCAGAAATTAAAAAAGTAAGCACTAAATTCTTGATATCACCAAAAAAAGAAGCTGAAGTTCGAACTATACAACCGAACCGCGCTCGAAGTCTTTCCCTGGATAAAACCAATCAAAGATTCAATGAAAATAAATCCAACGAATATGACATAAAGGAAAAAAAACAGAGAAAAACCTATAATTACTCAGCGCCAACTTCTCCGATGCCCATTTATCATAAAATTCCAATTATGCCGAAAACTGTTTCTCCTTACGAGCATGTTCGCAAAACTATGATAGAAACTGAAGAAAAGAGAAATTCTTTAAGCAGGTTAAGCAAACGTAACAAAACCACGCCATCGCCCACCTGTGTAGATTACGATCACAACAAAATGTCTTCAAAAGAATCTCCTACGCTGGATAATCACTCCTTAGAGAGAGAAAAAACACGACAGAAGGTTGAGGCTTTCTATTGGCAAAAATTAAAGGAACAGAAACAAATGGAAGATGAGTATTTATTGCGCCAGTCAATTAAGGCACCCACACGAAATTCCTCTGCCTATGGCACCGTATGTTCGAATTCCAGTTGTAGTTCACCAAATGCTTCTTTAATAGAACCAAGAAGTTACAGTTTACCTAGAGGTAAGGAATTTGATAATTACAGTATGTACCACGTGATAAATCAGAAGAACTCCCCATTTATAAGAGGAGCGCCTGAGAGGCGAACAGACTCATTTCTCTCGTCTCGAGATCACGGCGAAGATGACATTGTGTATAGACATCCCGAGAAATTGCTGGTCAAGGACAAAATTACACCAATGATGGTGGTGAATTACAGGAAACAAATGCCTATGTACCGACAAGGTTCTCTAACACCAACAAAAAGGAATATATATCAACAAACCAAGCGAGTTAGTTTTGAAGAACACTTGAATAAACTAAAATTAGAGCAGGTCAAAACTGTGAGTGACAGAAAAGTTGAAAATAAAGAAACAACGGGGGAAATAAAACATCAAGTTCCGTCTAATGTAACGAAATGGTCGAAAGTTCCGACGAATGGTCCTCCTCGTCCACCTGTACGAACGACGAGCATAAACACGACCGGAAAGAGTTCTCTAAACAACACAAAGAGTGTTCTGACAGCCGGAGGGCAATCCATGTGTTCTGAATCGGAAAGTGGATCAGAGGCGGGTGAAATACAAAGAATCCTACTAAACAAGTCGCAGAGAGGTATGTCGATCTTATTTTTCCTTTATCAATATATGTCAAGATATATTTTGTATTTACACATTTATTTTCGAATTTCAATTATATGATGTCCATTGTATGTACTATCTGAAAGAAGTTTTCGGATTCTCAGTAGAGTTTTATTTTTACAAAAAGTATTTTTTTTGCAGGCATAAAATATACCTATATAAATATTTGTTTGCACGAATTTACGACATATTATTCGACATTACTTAAATTTACCAAAAACACTCTGTTTAATATGATTCCGACCGAATGGGCGAATTACGCTCACGCTGTCTGGTGATATTTGTGTTCAATGAATAGGCAAGCAAGCCCGTCAGACTGAATAAGTTTCATATGTTACCATCAAACCGAGCATATAATCGTATTTGGCAACTTTTGACAATTCACCTGACACAATAAGAAACTAGCGTCTCAATCGATAGTAGCCGCTTAAATTGTTTGCTTATAAGTTGTTATTGTGTAGGAATATATAGAGCTTAGTTTCACACAGTGTAGCTGTACCGCAGCACGGAACCGTAAACATCTTGTTGGAACAATACGACCTGCCAGCGGCGCCGGGGCTGAGACGCAAGATTGTCCGCAAAATCGGCTTTGTTTCGCGTATTTCTGTGCGTTTTCACAAACTTGTCTTTATTGTGTGGAGCTACACGGTTCGTTTACTAATGGGAGTTATGAGAGAAAGCTCTAAATGATATAGGGGTATGTAGGAAACGTATTTTTTTATCATTTTATCTTTTCCGTACTCTTTTTGCTAATACTCGTTTAATTTTTTTGGCCCCGAGCGAAGACTAGTTTTTTCTTAGATAGAATCTTATTGGATTGTTGAAATGTCTAACAATATTCATCACCATTAGCCTATTAATATCACCATTGTTGGGAAACTGGCCTTCCCCTTATCAATAGGATAAGGGAGATTGGGTCCCTTATCCATCAGGATAAGGGAGATTGGGTATTAGTCTTTACTATAATACCATGACGCAGAAATCGAATCAGTAAACAAAAGTTTAATAATCACAGTTACTGTCCCTTAACCTGTTCCTAAAAATAAAAACCCCTTTAAGGCAAGTTATCTTTAACACTTCATTTCATCAACATTTCCAATCATTTAAGTTTGATATTATAATAAAGCGGTAGAATTAATTCTGCGATAAGCTTTTATTAAATTTATGATAGCATAGAAATCATGGCAAGCGGGTCAAACTTTTAATGAGAAACTCGCAAGTCACCGTATTATACGGTTGGGCTATATCAAAAGATTGCATTAATTATATAAGTTTGAACAGTTAAGTTATTATATTATTAATGTATGTAGATGTATTCCCACAGTACACCAGAGAATTACTATGAATTTGACTAGAATTAGAAATTCACACAACACCAATGAAAGCGTAAATTAATTACAGTTCGATGCTTCTAAGTGAATTTTGCCAAAACCAGCACAGGCTGCATTTAGTCGCCAGTTTGTTCTAGCCACTATGAAACATGTCTGTCCGGTTCCCACTCTAGTTAATACCAAAACTTCAGGTCCAAGTTTCAGATCAGAATTTGATTACAATTCTGAAGCTTAACTTAATAAAACGGCCCTAAACCATATAGCTCGTATCTTCGTAGCTTCTCACAAACATGTAGGTTTGCAAAAAGGCACTGAATTACTATAAAATGGCTAATATTTAAATGACCATCACATAATAGTAATTGATCTTCAAAAAAGTACAATTTTGATAATCAAACCTAACCTTTACGGTGTGAGTACCTTTTCGGTGTAAGATAACGAGAAATATTAAAAAGAAAACTTATTCAATATCAAAATTTTTTGCTGTTATTATCCACGGATATTACTTGATTTTCATTGGTCGAGGATTCATGTAAGTCATCGGTTTTTTATTAAGTAGTAACATCATAATTCATTATTAAAAAAAATCTCTTTCCATTATGTTCTTGCAAATACGAAGACAATATGCAGAATCTCTGAATCCAGCCTTATGATACCGTAGAATAACCGCCTTATGTATATTCTGTGCTATCAGCGAAAAAGATCGTAGTATCTAGTCATTATTTACAATTTTTTGCTATACACTGGAGCCAACAACGCCCGACGTGGCTTCGCATGAGTGCAATATGTTGATGCTTATATGTTTAGATATCATTACTACCTAATTTCTGAATTTCCGGGTAGTGCTTTGTAAATTTTCTTTAAAAAATCGAGGATGAGAGTTTATTACAAGAACAAACATCATAGTTATATTTTTTATTTTATAAGCATGAAACTGCTTAATGTTTAAATATTAATAAAATTCTACTAGAAAAAAATACCACGCGGTTCAGGCAGCAGATGGGATTCTGCATGGTCCGCGTAAAAGAAATATTACTATAATTGCTATTTCTTCTTTCAAATGATTAATACTTGTAAAGGTATTCATTTGATATTGTGGGTTACTTACAATGCGAAGAGATGGCGCTGCCTTGCAGGCTAAGAAATACTAGAAAAAAATCATCACGGCCATTAGGGCCTCGGTAGCATAATGGTTAGTGCATCCGCCCGGTTAGCGGAGGGTGCGGGTTGGGGTCCCGTCTGCTGCCTGGTCCGCGTGGATTCTTTTTCTAATATAATTTTCTTTAGATTTAAACAAACATCATACCAGAATTGACATTAATCCCTATTGGTGTCGATTCTGGCATGATTCTCTAAACCTATAATTAGAATTGACAATAGTGTATCCTTGTCATTTCTATACATAATGAAGAGGAGAGACTGATGTTAAATTTAGTTTAAAGATTAGAGAATTATGCCAAATCGACATCAATATAATATGTTTGTGGATTCTTTACCATCAGCCGGTGGACGTCCATTGCTGACCATAGGTCTCCAAATCCTCTCCGCACCCAGTGGGTCCCCTCTCCCCCTACTCGCTTGATGACGTCAGTCCATCTGGTGAGGGATCTACAGTTTGTGAAATATTAAGGTTTAAAGTCAACGATATTAAATACCCTAGAAGCACGCACGTGGTGTGCGCTCAAAATGCGCCAATCAAGAAGTGCTTGAACACCACTCAAGCACTTCTGGGTTCACAGTCACGCGCGACCCGTTGAAAAGTTAAGATTTCGCAGAATTCCGGGAAAAAATGCGAAAAAAAATCCCGCATTTGAAGCTAATTTTGTTCCATTAATTACTATAAACTGATTTAATAGAAAATATTAGTTGTGATATTCAAATGCATGGTCGGGTATATAGCCATCTCTTTTCCTCGCGGTACGTACCTGTTATATTGCTAACAGCGCATTCAGAATTGCGCGTAGAGTCAAAGACATAAGGTCTATATTCTTCCGCAAATAGCAATAAGGCGCGAAATTTTACGAACTTGCATTACGAACTGTCATTACTCTTTGACAATGCGTTTTAATTAAGACATTATATACTATGCATTAAAGGTGACTTTCAATTTTTAAATAATGCGGTACGGTACATTGTACGGTACGGAGCTCCGTGGATCGTCCAATATACCTTTTGGACAGGTTTTGGCAACAAAAGTTCGTGTTGGTGTATCTAAGGTATTCAATATCGTTGTTTAAAGTACGAATTAATTTATTGGATATATACGATAATATATCCAATAAATTAATCCTAATAATTCGTGAAAAATTGCATCTATTCTTCACATAAGTGTCTTTCACTCTAAGTACCTCGTGGTATACTCCATATTTAATGTAGAAATGATGAATTCGCAAAAATGAGGAGGTTTTCATTAACCGCGTTTAAAACGGAGGTGGTTTTCAATTTGGCGGGTATGTTTTTTTTTATTCTATGTACATACTATACGCAGATTACGCCGAGATTTCTGATTCCGATTTCCGTGATTCTTCTTTTTTACAAAATAGCTGCCATTTGGCCCCATAACATTTAATTAAGTTTGGTTTAAATAAAACTAGTTTTAACGTGTTAATGAATAAAATTTATTTATTTATTGACGATTCGCAACCTTTTCAGGTCTGCATCGTCAGAATAATGATTTTTTATGTCGAGCTACCTTCGAAAGACTTTTATTGAGCGTTCGGATATTTCATTGGAAGATTATTAAAACTTTATTGTCTATGTATGAATTTATTAGCTAATTTAGTTAATAAAGTACTTTATTTAACATTCATTTTTGTAAGTTTGAGATATTTATTTGACCCTAACTACCGTAAACTACCACCGGTTCCAAAATTGGGAGACCTTTCTGAAAGAACCGGCGAAACAAACTTAGAGAGGCTTTCTATCTCCTTCTTATGTTAAATAATGAACTAATAGTATCTGTTGGTCTTGCAGTGTGTGCTCGGGGTTGGCATTTTATCTGTTGTATAATGGGTTCCGAAGCTGGTGGTATATACCAACCATCTTCTCTATTGAAATTTGGATATTTTTTAATTTCTGCGAAACGTCATTTATTATTTATTATAAATATATATTAAATTTCGTGCATTAACCCCTTAAAACTAGTTTTATTTAATGTAGTGATGTGAGTGAAAACCTAAGAAACAAATAACTTTGGTTTTTTATTTTATGAGCATTTTGTTAACTTGGACGATGAAATTTTCACGATACTTTGTTTCTATGTACACTGAATATGTCCAGATTCTGATCTGATTCGAGTGATTATTTTTTGGTCGATGGAAGATACTTGTCATTTGGTCCCATTAAAATTTAATTTAGTTTGACCCAGTACTTTTAATTTGATGAGCATTTTTGTTTCCTTGGACGATGTTATTTTCACGATACTTTGTGTACGGATTTGCTAAGATTTTATATGTAAAAGAGCTTTGCTCTAAAATGGATGAAATTAAAAAAAATAACGACTACAAAAAGGAAAATGAATCTGAAAATTATGATGAATTAGTTTTAAACTGAGCTATTTGATGAAAGAATGTTTAGTTACATTTGTACTCTTATCATCGTTATAATTTATGAATTAAAAGTTTTTAAATTCATCATCTTTAAT